GTTTCCCTTCTCCCACTTACTTTTTCCCCACGGGGCCCCCCAGTCCCCCAGTCCCTGCCTGGTCTCCTGCCCCTTCTCCCACTGGATCCCTGCCCCCCTCGCAACGCCTCTCGCCTCCATGCCTGGCTGCTCCGGTCTGTATTCTCCTCTCCCCAGGTCCCCGGGCTGCCTGGCCGTTCCGAATCCCCTCCCCACAGGCGCCCTCCCATCCCTCCCCCACAGGCGCCTCCTCGCTGCCCCAGCAGCACCTCCCCCCCACAGCGCTCTCCCCTCCCCCACAGCACCTCCCCATCCCTTCCCAGAACAGCGGCACTCCCCTGCCACAGTGCCCTCCCCTCCCCTCCCCCAGCAGCCACCCTCCTCCCCACGACCTCCCATCCCCTAAACCAAGGACTCGCCTCCGCCGCCCACAGCACCGGCCCTCCCTCCCCACAGCGCCTCCTCCCCCACAGCGCCCTCTCCCATCCCTCCCACAGCCCCTCCCCATCCCTCCCACAGCGCCCCTCCCCAATCCCTCCCACAGCGCCTCCCTCCCCCACCAGCGCCCTCCCCCTCCCTCCCCCACAGCGCCCCTCCCCTCCCCTCCCCCCAAGCGCCCTCCCTTCCCTCCCCCTACAGGCACCCTCCTTCCCCCACAGGCCCTCCCTTCCCCCTCCCCCACAGCGCCCTCCCCCTCCCTCCCACAGCGCTCCCTCCCGACATCCCCTTTCCTTCCAGGCGTGCCGCTGCCGCGCAGTCTCTGCGTCTTCCCACGGGGCCCGCGCGGATGACCCAGGCCCCCCGGACTTGGGGCGCCGGCAGCAGGATGTGAAGCTGAGCGGAGCCGGCCTTGAGGCGGACCCGGAGCCCGAAGGGGAGTCGGAGGACAGGTGAGGGCCGGGCCTGCCCCCAACCTCCCACCCGCCCTGCCCCAGACGGGCAGTGGGAGCCCCTCAAAGGGAGGGGCCCGCCTTGGCGTTTCTGGGGGATCCAGTTCTCCCTCCGCTGCACAGCCTCCCCCAACGCACGCTGGGGACAGCCACGTGGGGGCAGGAGCCGGGAGCCTGAGCCTTCCTGAGGGCCAACCCCGCGCAGACCGGCCCGGGACGGGCAGGGGACCGTGCCAGGTGCTGCCGTGTGGTCAGAGCCCTGTGCGCTTGAGGCTGGGAGGGGGCAGCAGGGCAGGCTTCCTGGAGGAGACAAATCTTTTGTGTATAAGCGAGAGAAAATTCAACTCCAGAGGGCTAAGTAAAAGGCAGATGGCATGGGCACAGGTAGGTGGCCATTCCCGGTCCCTGGCTCTGCCTCAGGCATCGGGCTCTGTCGGGGGCCTCCTCCGCCAGGGTCTCTTTGGGACGGGCCCCTCTCTCCCCGCCTCAGTGGCAAAGGCAAGTTTTCATCTCCGCTCAGGAAACCCAGCAGGAAGGACACAGGAAGGACACTCCTCCCACCAGCGGCCACCGCAGTCCCTGAGCTCCAGGGGGTTGTCACCCCACAGGCACTGGGACTAGTCCACCACGAGCACTTGGTGTCACTGTCCATAGTGCTGGGTTCAGGGCTGCCGTTCCAGTACTTCAGTTGTTTGTTCCCTCTGTCCCTCCATCCGTACCCTCTTGGGAATTAATTGAATTTTTTTTTTTTTAGAATGTCATTTGAATTTAGTTATTGTCTTTTAGCATTTTCTTTTTTTCTTAGTGGTAGCTCTGAGGATCACAATACACATCTTTAACTTTTTCACAGCATCAATATTGCGCTCGCTGCACCTAAAATGCAGACCTTGAAGCGCTAGATGCCCGTTTGTCATGCTACCGTGTTCGTGGGTACAATTTTAAATTCTCCCCAGGGTTGCCCACCTGCCTCTAGTGTCTCTTACCTATCTCCAGTGCCACCCCTGTGCCTCTGACCACAGGCCACCTGTAAGCTATGCTGCCACTACGGAATTTTGTCACTTCAAGAATGCTAGGTGAGGCCTTGCTCTTGTCTACAATCCCAGCACTTTGGGAAGCCAAGCTTGGAGGATCGCTTGAGACCAGCTGGGCAGCATAGCAAGACCCCATCTCTACAAAAAAAATTTTTTAACTTTTAAACTGGGCATGGTGGTATGTGCCTATAGTTCAGGCTACTCACTGAAGCCCAGGACTTTGGGGTTACATTGAGCTATGATCTTACCAGCCTGGGTGACAGAATGAGACGCTGACTCTAAAAAAAAAAAAGAATGGTAGGTAAATGGAATCTAAGAACATATAACCTTTGAGACTGTTTCTTCCTCCCTCAGTGTAATTTCTTCGCATTCACTCATGTTGTCGGGTATATCCATAGTGCGTTCCTTTTTTTTTTTTTTTTTTTTTTTGAGACAGACTCTCACACTGTCACCGGGGCTGGAGTGCAGTGGCATCATCATACCTCACAGCAGCCTCAAACTCCTGGGCTCAAGCCATCCTCCTGCCTCAGCCTCCCGAGTAACTGTAACTATAGGTGCACACCACGACACCTGGCTAATTTCTCTACATTTTGTAGAGACACGGCCTTGCTGTTGCTCAGGCTGGTCTCAAACTCCGGGGCTCAAGCGACCCTCCTGCCTCGGCCTCACCGAGTGCTAGGATTGCAGGCGTGAGCCACCGCGCCCAGTCAGTGCATTCCCTTTTTCCCCGAGTACTGTTCTGTTTGGTCAGTGGCCGACACTAACGGCTCCCCCTTGCAAGTGACCACCTCTCAGCACAATCACCGTGGCCAAATGCAGGCAGGGTCATAGGGGCCAGGCCTGGGCCACGTTGTGCCCCTTCCCAGGCGGGTTCTGCCGTCTAAATGGGGGGGCAGGTTCAGGAAAGCCCGCGCCCCCACGGAGTCTCTCTCCTCTCCCGGCAGCCAGAGCGGCTTCTCTTCCTAGCGACCGCCCTGCTCCACGCCAGACGACACCCTGTGGCCGCATCTTGTCTCTGTCCGCCTGTTTGCGACTCTGGCCGTGGCTGGCAGACCCCACCCCACGTGGGCCCTGCCTCCAAATGCCCGCTGATGGCTACAATGGCAGAGACCTGTCCCCACCTAGGAGGGCCTCCGGGGCGGAGGCATGACGTGGGGACGGCCGGAGTGGCTGCAGTTCCAGGTGCCCTCCCCCAGCCTGGGGCTGGACGCCGCCCGATCGGGGCCACAGCGGGCGCCCTACGGCTGGCCACTCGTGTTCCTGGCGAAAGAAAGAAAAAGAAAAAATTAGCCAGGTGTGTTGGCATGTGGCTGTAATCCCAGCTACTTAGGAGGCTGAGGCAGGAGGATCCCTGGAGCCCGGGAATTCAAGGCTGCAACGAGCTGTGATCACACCAGTATACTCCAACCCAATTGGACAAGAGGGCAAGACCCTGTCTCAAAAAAAAAACAAAACAAAAAAACTAGTAATAATGCAAAATTCTAAAACCACCCAATTGGATGAGTGACCGTGTCTATTCCGGGCTAAATGTTCAGGTTCAAGGGCGGGGTGGGGTGTAGGGAGAGGGCTGGTTTCTGTCTGGGGTTCAGGGCCTTTACAGCCCATGGGAGCTCAGAATCCTTGGAGCCCCTGCACGTGGGAGTCACTAAGTGGGTACATCTAGGGTCACCTCAGGACCCAGCCAGGAAGGAGGCCATTGATTAGTGATGTCTGCCAGGAGGCATAAGAAGGAAGCCATTGATGAGTGATGTCTGCCAGGGGCACAGGAAGGAGACCATTGAATAATGACGTCTTCCAGGGCCATGGGAAGGGCTGGGGCTGCCATGTGGTTGCAGATCTGAGATGGAGCTCTTAGGCCCTTCCTGTCCGGCTGGGACAGGAAGGGCTTGTCCTGTCTTCCCCGCTGGCACTCTCTTTCCACGGGGATCCAATGCCCCAGTTTTTCTCCTGAGACCGCGTGCAGGGGCACCCACCGTGGGATGCCAGACTGAGTCCTGGGCGGGTTGTGGCCCCTGACCAATGCTGTCCTTGCAGACGGGGTCACCCACTGGAGCCCAGCGAGTTCCTGGGACGTGGACAAGGATGCGTTTCTGAGCTACGGCGACAGGGTCTCCAAGTCAGGTACTGGCCATCAGGTACTGGCCACGGGCTCCCCGGTGCCTGCCTTGGCTGCTGTCTGCATGGTGCGGGGTCCTGGGTCCCGGCATGGAAAGGGCCCCCGCTGGCCTCTTCTGTTGCAGTGGCCTCAGCCGAGGTGGAAATGACGGCCTACGCCCTCCTGACCTACACCCTCTTGGGTGACGTGGCCGCCGCCCTGCCGGTGGTGAAGTGGCTGTCCCAGCAGCGGAACGCACTCGGGGGCTTCTCGTCCACCCAGGCGAGCCGGGCGGGGCCAGAGGGCGGGGCTGGGTGGGGTCGCCACAGTCCAGGGCTCTGAGCCTGCCAGGCAGCCGGGCCCCTTCCCACCTGCAGAGCCTGGAGGCATGGACCCCAGGAGAGGGCAGGGATGGGGGCCAAGGGACAAGGGACGCTGCAGCTAGACCCTCTGCAGGAACCTAGCTCCTACCTCTGGACACGCCAACCTGGCTGTCCCGGGACCCCCAGCTCCGTGGGTGTCTGCCAGGTTCGGTCCCAGCCCTACCGGTGGACAGGGGCCAGGGGACGTCCGGCCAACTTGTTCTCGGGGCTGATGGTGGCCTCCCGCCTCTGCCTCCAGGATACCTGTGTGGCCCTGCAGGCCTTGGCTGAGTATGCCATCTTGTCCTATGCTGGAGGCGTCAACCTCACCGTCTCCCTGGCCTCCACCAACCTGGACTACCAGGAGACCTTCGAGCTGCACAGGACCAACCAGAAGGTTCTGCAGACGGCGGCGGTGCGTGTCCCCAAAACACGGCGTGGGCTGGGTGGGCGTGTGTCGGCAGTGGGCTTGACGGGGCCTCACGGTGACTTCTCTCTCCAGATCCCCAGCCTCCCCACGGGGCTGTTTGTGAGTGCCAGGGGGGACGGCTGCTGCCTGATGCAGGTGAGGCTTCAGGGACCCGGGGCTCCCTGGGGCTTGTCCTCCCCTGGCCCTCCTGCCACACACAGGCATCTGGAACCTGGGGACCCCAGAGGGCTCTGAGTTGGGCATCGGGCCAGACCACAAGGCAGGCTGTCCGCCCTCCGGATATGCCGCCCGCCATGCCCAAGGCAGGTGGCCGGGGATCCCCTCAGGTGTGGGGGCTCAGGGGCCCCCCAGGAAAACCCATTTTACCTTCAGTCCATTGGTGTCTGGGCCTAAGCAGACCCTGAGCAACGGTTCAAGGTTATTCCCCTCTGTGGCCTGGACAGGGACGCCCCAGCTGGACTCCCCGGGCTCTCGCCCTGCAGCCGGAGCACCACCCACCTCGTTCTGGGACTTAGCCCGCAACTGGGCTGGCGCAGGCAGGTCCCGTGCGTTCTGGCTGCCAATCAGAGTGCGACCTGCCAGCCTCAGCTCCCCCATCGCTGTGCTGGGGGCCCAGACCGCGCAGTGCGTGGGAGAGAGAACCCTGCGCGGGTGCGGTCTGTGCAGCTCTGCGCCCGCGCAGCTGGGCTGACGAGGGCACCTCCGCCCGCTCCTGTGGTTTCCAGGCTAAAAGGAGTGATGGTCGTCCCCAGGACTGTCCTAGATGCCGTTGCCATCGTAACTCTCGTGTCCCCACCCCCCTCCTCCCCTGCCCCACACCCTTCGGGCAGGGCTGGGGCCCCTAAACCTCAGTCCTCTGACACCCTCCAGATCGACGTCACCTACAATGTGCCCAACCCGGTGGCCAAGCCGGCCTTCCAGCTGCTTGTCAACCTCCAGGAGCCTGAAGTTCAGGGGCGCCCGCCCCCTGCGCCTGCGCCTGCCACCGCCGAGGGCCCCCGCGGGGACCGGCACCCGGCGGACGATGACGACCCAGCAGCGGACCAGCATCACCAGGAGTATAAGGTGACGCTGGAGGTGTGCGCCAGGTGAGGCCGCCCGGCCCGGCGGCCGGCATGCGGGAGAGTGACGCAGGCAGAGGATGGCCTCCCGGGGCCAGGGGGAGCTTCCAGGCAGGAGCCCGGTGACGGTTTGGGAAATGAGTGAAAGAAAAGCAAATGCTTTCCAGCGGACACGGCAGACGCCAGTGATGGTTGGGCAGGAGGGCTGGGTAGGGACAGCTGCGTGTGGCCAGCGTGCTGGTCCCCGCTCGACACACCAGCTCTAGGCGCCTTGGTTTCCTGGGGTGAGCCTGGCACTCAGCCAGCCACCCTCATCCACCAAGAGGATGCTCGTTGCCATGGCAACAAGGATGCTTATCACCATGGTGATGATCTGGCTGCCCAGAGGTGGGTGGGTCGGTGGTTGCCAGGATACCTGTGATACCCACAGCCCATCAGAGCAGCCCAGGTACCTGCGCCACCCACAGCCTGCAGGCTCCACTGGATGTCAGCCTCCCCTCCCTGTCCCCGGCAGGCCCCTGCAGGAAGGGCCTGGCATGTAGCAGGCCCCGGAGAAAGCCCAGTCAGCCACTTCCCCTATGTTACAGAAGGAGAAACTGAGGCCTGGAGCTAGGAAGTGACTTGCCCAGGGTTTCCTGCCGGGTCAGACCTGATCTGAAGCTGCCCTCCAGGGCCACGGCCCCCGATCAGCAGACCTGGGTCAGGCCTAGAACCCTCAGCAAAGCCCTTACCTTCCGGCCTCAGTGTTCTGGCCATAAAATGGGCTGAGTGAACTGACCAAGCCAAGAATGTTTGTGCCAATGGCCTACCGGCCAAGCCCAGGGCAGGTGTCCCCAGAACATCAGCTGGGTGGTCTCCAAGGGGCAGAGAGGGGAGCCATGAATTCAACCTTGGGGCTGGAGTCCCAGGGCCTCTCTGTCTCCCCTGTCGTTGGAAGGTGGCTGCACGCGGGGTCCTCCAACATGGCTGTCCTCGAGGTGCCCCTGCTGTCGGGCTTCCGGGTAGACACCGAGAGTCTGGAGCAGGTATGGTGGTGCTGGCAGCAGGGGAGGGCAGGGGCCCGGGCGGGGTCCCTGGGCAGTGGGCACCCAGGGTCAGGCTGGCTGGCAGCTCGGCCTTTTGTAAAATATTGTGGGGTTTTTGTTCTTGTTTGTGTTTGTTTGTTTTTGCCTTTCTGGACAAAGATGGGCCTACCTAGGAGCTGGTAGGGCCGGGAGAGGTGATGCAGAGGCTGAATGGAACACCAGAGGAGGGGAAGGGCCAATTCGGAGGCCCTGGTGTGGGAATAAGCTTTTGTATCAAAAACCAAAAATAAGTCTCAGGCTGGGAAGGGAGGTTAAATGACACAGTGAGGCTGGAGCAGTTGGCAGGGCTCAGCCGGCGCCTCTTAGGCCACAGAGAAGCCGGACCTGATCCTGGGGCTGGATTGGGGGAGGCTGCAGCAGGGGAGGCAGGTTCTCTGGGAAGGGGTACCCAGCCTTTGAGCACCCTCTCCCAGGTGCTGGGGGGGGGGCGACAGGGCCTGGGAGCGCCAATCATCACCCCCTGCCCCAGCCAGGTACACACAGACCCTGGCCCGTGGGGACTTGCTAGATGACCACAGGCAAGCCCCTGAACTCCTCCAAGCCTCGGCTTCCTCCTGGGCCTGGTCTGCCTCCCACTGACCAGTGTGGGCAAGGAGATCCGGGAGGAGCAGAGGGGCCGAGCGGACCCTGACCCCTGGCTTCCCCTCCAGTTGCTCTTTGACAAGCACATCGGGATGAAGAGGTACGAGGTGGCTGGACGCAGAGTTCTCTTCTACTTTGATGAGGTACAGCCGGCCAGGGCTGGTGGAGGTGGCTCCCCTGGTGCCCACGCTGGTGAGGGAACGGCTCCCCACAGTCTGGCACCCTGAAAAAGGCACAGGCAGGACAAACTGCAGGCAGAGCTGACGGCTGTATGCCCCAGACTATGGCTCTCGGTGGAAAAATGGGGAGAGGGGTGTGGTGGAATGGCATGCAGCCCTGACAAGGAAGGAAGCACTGCTGATGCCGCAGTGCCGAGGAACCTCCAAACCAGGATGCTGAGTGAGACTCAAACGGCCACAGGGCGCGTGAGTCCGTCCATAGAAGTGTCGGGAACAGGCCGATCTGGGGAGACAGCAAGCAGATTCGTGGCTGCCAGGGGCTGGCGGCGAGGGGGGTGGGAGTGACTGCCGACAGGGACGGTGTCCTTTTCCGGGAAACACGTTTTCTGGAACTAGACAGCGGCGAGGGCTGCGCGGCATTGTGAATGTGCCGCATGCGGCACGCACGGTGGTCGGGCTTCTGTGTGTCCCGCCTCCCGGGCGCCTCCAAATCGGCCAGTTCCGGGCCGTGCTGCGGGGCGTCGCGGGGCGGAGGGACCCACGGCGGCCCCAGCCCAGCGCGTCCGCTGTCCCGCAGATCCCCAGCCGCTGCCTGACGTGCGTGAGGTTCGCGGCGCTCCGCGAGTACGTGGTGGGCAGGACGTCGGCGCTGCCCGTGTCCGTGTACGACTACTACGAGCCCGGTAGGCCCGCGCCCCGCGCCCGGCCCGGCCCGCGCCCCGTCTCCCCGCGCCCGGCTCGGTCACCCAGCCGTCGCCCCTCGTCCCGCAGCCTTCGAGGCCACGCGCTTCTACAACGTCAGCGCGCGCAGCCCGCTCGCCCGGGAGCTGTGCGCCGGGCCCGCCTGCAACGAGGTGGAGCGCGCGGCGGCCCGGGGCGCGGGTGAGTGGGGGACCCAATCCCGCCCCGCCCCACCCCGCCGGGCGTCTTGAGGGTCTAGGCAGAGAGGGGGCCGGCACAGCGAGGTCAGGAGGGCACAGCCCCGCGGTGGCCCCGTGTCAGCTGCGTGGGAGGGGACGGGCTGGGGATGGGGGTACGGTCAATGCAGGGGGGCGGGGCCGGGCGGGGCGAGCCGGTCAGTGCATGGGGGGGCGAGTAGGGGGAGGGCGAGGGAGGAGGGTGCCTCAGAGCCGTTTATAAAATTTTTCCAGATTTCTTGGAATGAGTTTGGGTTATTTTAAAAGTTTTTAAAACTTTGCTCTCCCAAGTTCCTAAGTACTAGGCAATACCTGCGAAACTCCGCGGGATCCGGGCTCAGGACCTTCCATTAACTGTCGCGCGCGCTCCCACCGTATGGGGGGTGGGGTTCCCGGCCCCAGGGACTCCTCCCCGCCCCCAGGCCCTTGGGCCGCGTGCAAGGTACCGGGTGGGGGGTCCCCGTGACCCACCGCCGACCCTGCCTCGTCCCCCAGGCTGGACCCCCGGCGAGCCGGGCCCTGAGGTGGCCCCCGAAGAGGGGGCGGCAGTCCCGCGATGCGGCTGCGCCCGCGACTGTGGCGCCCGGGGGGCCCAGGTGTGGCCGCTGCCGCCTCTCGGTGGATGGTGACCCCATAGGCCCCCCCACACTCCTTCTTCCCGCCCTCCCCCCCCAACCCCCATGCATCCATCCCTTCTCTCCATCACCTCCCAGCGACTCATGGCTCCTGCGTGGTTCTTTCTTGTCTGTGTTCCCCCCCCCCACCCATGTTCCTTGCTCCCCATACTTTTCCCCACGGGGCCCCCCAGTCCCCCAGTCCCTGCCTGGTCTCCTGCCCCTCTCCCACTGATCCCTGCCCCCCTCGCAACGCCTCTCGCCTCCCATGTCTGCTGCTCCGGGCGTGTATCTCCTCCCCCTCCCGCTCCCCCACGTTCCTCCCTCCCCCACAGGACCTGTCCTCGCCCACAGCGCCCTCCTTCCCCCACGTCGCCCCTCCCCTCCCACGCACCGTCCCCTCCCTCCCCACGCGCGCCTCCCCCTCCCCCCCCACACGGCCCTCCCCTCCCCACAGCACCTCCCCCTCTGCACCCACCGACCCTCCTCCTCGCCCCACAGCACCGCCTCCCCACAGCGCCCTCCACATCCTCCCTCCGCCCCACAGCGCCTCCCCTCCCCTCCCCACGCGCCGCCTCGCGACAGTCCCCTCCTTCCAGGGGGCGGCGCTGCCGCCAGCCTGCTGGCGAGATCCACGACCCGCGAATGACCAGGGCCACCCTGGACTAGTGGGGCGGCCGGGCCAAGCAGGATGGCTTGAAGCTGAAAGCGAGAGCGGCTATGAGGGGACCCGAGAGCCCCGAGGGGAGTCGGAGGGACAGCGTGAGGGGGCCGGGAACTGCCCCCAACCTCCCACCCGCCCCTGCCCGCGCAGTGGGACCCCCTCAAAGGAGGGGGCCCGCCTTGGCGTTTCTGGGGGGGATCCAGTTTCTCGGCTGCACAGCCTGCCCCCAGACGCACGCTGGGGACAGGGGGGCCACGTGGGCAGGAGCCGGCGAGCCTGAGCCTTCCTGCAGGCCCGCGCGAGACCGGGCCCGGGACGGGCAGACAACGTTGCCAGGGTCATGCCCGTGTGGTCAGAGCCCTGTGCGCTTGAGGCTGAGGGAGGGGGCAAGCAGGGCAGGCTTCTGGAGGAGACAAATCTTTTGGTGTATAAGGCGAGAGAAAATTCTAACTCCACGAGCGCTAAGTAAAGGGCAGGGATGGCATGGCGCCACAGCGTGTAGGTAGGCCATTCCCTGGTCCCTGGCTCTGCCTCAGGCATCGGGCCTCTGCGCGGGCATCTCCGCAGGGCTCTTTGGGACGGGCTCCCTCTCTCCCGCCTTCGTCAGTGGCAAAGCAGTCGTTCATTCTACCCTCAGGAACCCGCCAGGAAGGGACACAGGAAAGACTACTCCTCGGCACAGCGGCCGACGCGTCCCTGAGCTCCAAGGGCGGTTGTCACCCACAGGCACTGGGACTAGTCCACACGGAGCACTTGGTGTCACTGTCCATGTGCTGGGGTCAGGGCTGCCGTGTCCGCAAAAAAACTACTTCGTTGTATTGTTCCCTCTGCCCCTCCATGCTCGGTACCCTCTTTGAATTAATTGAATTTTTTTTTTTTTAGAATGCATGATTTAGTTATTGTCCTTTTAGCTTTCTTTTTTTTAAGTGTAGGGCCCTTGGTCGCGTTGCTAGCCTAGAGGACACAATACACATCTATTAACCTGTTTCACAGATCAATATTGCGGCTCGCTGCACCTAAAGATGCAGACTTGAAGCGCTAGGTGGGGGGGCCGTTTGCTCATGCTACCGGTTCGTGGGTTCAATTTTTAATCCCCAGGGTTGGGCCACCTGCCTCTATGTCTCTTACTATCTCCAGTGCACCCTGCTGCTCTGACCACGAGGCCACCTGTAAGCCTATGCTGCACCTAGGAATTTTGTCACTTCAAGAATGCTAGGTGAGGGCTCGTTCTTGTCTACAATCAGCACTTTGGAAGCCAAGCGCTTGGAGGATCGCTTGGAGCCAAGCTGGCAGCCATAGCAAGAGCGACCGTCTCTACAAAAAAAATTTTGTAAACTTTTAATACTGCGGGCCCCACGGTTATGTGCCTTATAGTCATTATCACTGAAGCGCGGACTTCTGCGGTCCTACATTGGCTATGACTTTACAGCCCTTGGGTGGACAGAATGAGACAGCGCTCTAAAAAAGAGTGGTGGGGTTGAATGGAATCATAGAACATATAACCGTGAGACGTTTTTATCTCCTCCCTCCATGGTAAATTCTTCGCATCCGCGATGGTTGTCGCGTAGTAATCCACTGTGCTTCCTTTGTTTCTTTTTTTTTTTCTTTTTTTCTTTTTGAGACAGACTCTCACGACTGTCACCTGGGCTGGAGCAGGTGGCATATCGCATACTCACAGCAGCCTCAAAACTCCTGGGCTCAAGCCATCCTCTGCCTTGCCTCCCGAGGTAATGTAACTATAGGGGCACACCAGACCGGCTGGCTAATTTCTCTAATTTTTTAGAGACCACGGCCCGTTGCTGTCTTGGCTCAGGCTGGTTCTCACAACTCCGGGGCTCAGCCGACCCCTCCTGCTCGGGGGCGCTCACGGGTGCTAGGATTGCAGGCGTGAGCCACCGCGCCCAGTCAGTGCATTCCCTTTTTCCCCGAGTACTGTTCTGTTTGGTCAGTGGCCAGACACTAACGGCTCCCCCCTTGCAAGTGACCACCCTCAGCACAATCACCGTGGCCCAAATGGCAGGGCAGGGTCATGAGGGGCCAGGCCTGGGCCACGTGTGCCCCTTCCCAGGCGGGGTTCTGCCGTCTAAATGGGGGGGGCAGGTTCAGGAAAGGCCCGGCGGCCCCACGGAGTCTCTCTCCTCTCCCGGCAGCCAGAGCGGCTTCTCTTCCTAGCGACCGCCCTGCTCCACGCCAGACGACACCCTGTGGCCGCATCTTGTCTCTGTCCGCCTGTTGCGACTCTGCCCGGTGGCTGGGCAGACCCCACCCCACGTGGGCCCTGCCTCCAAATGCCCCTGATGGCTACAATGGCAGAGACCTGTCCCCACCTAGGAGGGGCCTCCGGGGCCGGAGCATGACGTGGGGACGGCCGGAGTGGCTGCAGTTCCAGGTGCCCCTCCCCCAGCCCTGGGGCTGGACGCCGCCCGATCCGGGGCCACAGCGGCGCCCACGGCCTGGCACTCTGTCCTGGGAGAAGAAACAGCACTGGGGGGACCCACGGCCAAAGCCTCTTTCTGGGGGGACACGACCTCTGACCAAATGTGGGTGACAGCGTCCGATCCCGCCTCAGCCACTTCGAACTATGCGGGCTGCTTTTCTCTGAAAACACTAAGCCCGGCCTCCGTGTGGGGAACAGGACCCTGCACCCTCCGGCCTCGGCCCAGGGGACCCCGAATGCAAGCCTGCCTGCACCTCCACCTGCACCTGCACCTGCGTGCGGGAAAGCGCCTCCCCCCAGCAAACGCACTTTCAGCTTCCTGTCCCCGGGCGGGGCGGCCACCCACTGCCGGAGCCCCAGACCTCCCAGTGCCTGAGGGACGGTCCCTGTCCCAGCAGCCCAGGGCGCCCGGCTCCGGGACCCGCCTGCCTCCGGGGACCCTCCCAGTTGCTGCTGGCTTTTTGTGACCCTGCGTGCACAGCTGAGCCTGCGTTGGCTCGTCTCCCCCAGGTGGTGGTTATTGCGGTGGCACCGCCCGCCCACGATCTCCACCAGCGCGGGGCCTGGCGGGCTGAGGGGCCGTGAGTCTTGCAGCACGGCCACACCTCGCACCCCACCTCCTGCCGGCCTGCAGGGGACAGGCCCCGGCATGGCTCCCTCCCCGGCGTGGCTCCCTCCCCGGCGGGCGCTGTGAGGCTGCTGGTAAAAGTTAATTTCCACTGCCAAGGCCTCCTGCAGCCAGAGGGCGGTGCCAGGCCTCCAGCCCGTTCCACGCGGAATTCCAGAGCCCCTGGGCCCCGGGTGGCACAGCAGCTGGGCGGCAGCGCTCACAGGCCGGGGCTGGAGCCACCAGCCCCCCGTGGCAGCTGTGGGCTCCCAAGCCCGTGTCTTCGTCTGCGGCCTGGACTTGCAGAGCAGGTGGAGGGTCTGTGACGGCCCTTCCCGTGTGGCTGTGAGAGACGCTGCGGAGTGGCCCCGGGACCCCCAGCCACTGCCCCTGTGGAAAGTTCTAGTAAATGATCATACCAGGATAACGACACGGATCTATGTCACTGATCCCGTTTCCATTTCCGCAGTCGTACGTGTGTGCGTGTGCGTGTCCACGTGTGTGCGTGTGTGTGTCCAGGCACCCGACATCTGGGCTGATCAGAGACAGGCCACTGGGGAACCCGGGGTGGCCCCCACAGCCCCTGCCTGGGGGCAGGTCCTGGCCCAGGGCGAGACTCTGCCCCGTGGGGCGTGGGGGCCGCGCGAGCAGGGGGTGCACCGGAGGCTGCAGCTGTGTCCTGCTGTGGCCCCAGCCCGCACAGGGCTGCGGCACCCTGACCCCCACCCCCGGGGCACCCTGACCCGCTCCCCTGCGGCACCCTGACCCCCCACCCCCGGGGCACCCTGACCCGCTCCCCTGCGGCACCCTGACCCGCTCCCCCACGGCACACGCCGTTCATCCTCGGGTCCCACCGTGTCCGGGGGAAGTTGGCGTGAAGAGAAACCCGCAACAGGCGAAGGGAGAGGAGGGATGGGCTCCCGCAGGGGGATGGCAGGAGGCCGCGTGGTGCTCCCGGTGGGTTCGGGGAGCAGAGTGGATGTGGGGGCGCTCTGACTGCTCAGGGGACGTCCCCAAGCTAGAACCTGGGCTTCTGGGCACCGGACTGTCAAGCGGGCTCCGGGCCACCCAGGCCGGCACTGGGCCTCGAGGGGCGGGGCGCTCGAGCTAACCCCGGCACAGCAGCCCGGCGCCCCAGCAGCCCGGAGAGCCGAGCAGACAGGCTGGGCCTGGGAACACGCTTTTAACCCACTTTGGATCCCTGCCGTGACAAGGCGCCCCACAGCGGTGACTTGGAACACCAGGAATTTATTGTCTCAGTTCTGGAGGCCGGAAGTCCAAAGTTGAGGAGTTGGCAGAGCTGGATCCTTCCGGAAGCGCGGAGGAAGACTCTGGCGGCCCTGCCTGCTCCTGGCTTCTGGTGGCTGCGGGGATCCTGGCGTCCCCTGGCTTGCGTCGCCTCGCTCCGATCTCCGCCGTCTGCGGCGGGTCCCTGCAGCGCGCCCTGCTCGCAGAGGGCGCCCCTCGGGGATTTGGGGCCACCTGCGCCAGTGTGATTCCGCCTTAACTGATCACAGCGGAAGCCACGCATGTCCAAATGGGGTCCTGCTCTGAGACCCCAGGAAGGACGCGAACTGGGGGGGCCGACTCAACCCCGCTCAACCCTCCCCTCCTTTCCCCCCGGGGGGCCGTCGGAGGACTGGGTGCCCGTGTCGGGGCTGCCCCCCTCCCCCGAGGCCTTGGAGGCCTTGGAGCCCCCCGCGGGCCGGCGGCAGAGCCCGGCGCGCACCCGGTCCCTGAACTCGGGGGACACGTAGCAGTAGAGGAAGGGGTCCACGCAGCTGTTGAGGGTGCTGAGCGCCAGGCTGGGCACGTAGGCGCCGTACAGGTCGCCCCAGGCGCCGGGCCGCGGGTCCGAGTAGTGCAGCAGCAGCAGCGCGTTGCTGGGCGCGAAGAAGGCCAGCGCGGAGGCCAGCACGAGCGCGGTCAGCGCCAGCGCGTGGCCGTAGCGCCGGCCGGCGGCGCTCAGGGCGCGCAGCGTGGCGCCGCAGCACAGCAGCATGGCCAGCAGCGGCAGGAAGCAGCCCAGCAGCGCCAGGCAGGCGAAGGCGGGCCGCCAGTGGGCGGTCTGCGCGGCCAGCGGCAGCGCGTCGTGGCACAGCACGCGGCCCGCGCCCGCCAGCCGGAAGGTCTGCGGCTGCAGCGCCAGGGGCAGCGCCAGCGCGGCCGCCGCGAGCCAGGCGGCGGCGCACAGGGCGGCGGCCAGGCGGCGGCTGCGCAGGGCGCGCGCGCGCAGGGGGTGCGCCAGCGCCAGGTAGCGGTCCAGGCTCACTGCCGCCAGCAGCAGCACGGAGCCGTACATGTGGCCGTAGAGCGCCGCCGTGTCCAGGCGGCACGCGGCCTCGCCGAAGGGCCAGCGCTGGCCCCGCAGGTGGTAGGCGACCCGCGGCGGCAGCGCCAGCGCCAGCAGCAGGTCGGCGGCCGCCAGGTTCATGAGCAGCACGGTGGCCGGCCGCCGCGGCGTCTGCGCGGCCAGCACCCACAGCGCCAGCGCGTTGGCGGGCAGTCCGACCGCCAGCACCAGCGCGTACAGGGCGGGCACCAGCCGCGTGGGCACCCAGCCCAGCAGCAGCGCCCGCGAGCTGTCCGGGAGCTCCAGCGTGTGGCTGTCGTTGTCCCAGGCCTGCCCCGGGAAGCTGAACGGGCGGGCCGGGAACGGGGGCGCCGTGGTGCCCGGCGAGCCGTCTGCGGGGAGAGGACGCGGCGGTCAGCCCTGCCGCGGGGGCAGTGGGGCCGGAGGTGCCGGGAGTCGGGGCTAGGGCGCAGGGTGGGCTGGGCTGAAGGTCCCCGGGTTCCCTGGCTCCCCGCACCGGCTCTGATGTCCCCGCTGAGGCCAGGGTCACTCACTCACCACCGCCTCCTCCGGGGCTCCCGAGCTCGTCATAGACGCTGGGGGTCTGCGTGCCGCCCGCCGGGCTGAGCCCCAGCACCAGGGCCCACGGGAGCAGGCAGCCCCGCATGGCTGCGCTCGGGCTGCTCGGGGCTGTGGCCTTGGGCTTCCTGCCTCGCCGGACCCCGTCCCCGGCTTCCGGAGCCCGGGCCGAGGAACAGACCGGGCCGGGAGATAACCCAGGAAGGCACCGTCCCTGCCCCTGTCCCCGAGAACTCCCAGCCAGCCGTGGAGGCCCAGAGTGAGGCTGAGGAGGCCAGGCCACTCCGAGTCACCCTGTCCAGCTGAGGCACTTCCCCCAGGGCACAAGTGCTGGAGGGGGTCCCTGGCGGCGGGCGCCACCCCCGGCCCCTGTCCAGCCCAGGAAGCATCTGTGGCCCGAGTGGCCACTTCCTGCTGGCGGCCACGTCTGCAGCCCGTTCTTATGACAGTCCCACCATCCAGGTACCACCCCACCCAGACCCTGCCCATGGCGGGGGCTCTTGGGTCTTCCTGACCCCTCTTCCTGTCTCTGGGCAGGACAGCAAGAGCCCTGCCTCCCTGGGCCAGAGGTCAGGGCAGGTGAGCGTGCACGCCCCTGAGGTGCCAGGGTCCTCGTGACCCCAAGCTGCCCCTGCACCACCCCCTGGGCAGGAGCAAAGTGAAGTGCAGGGACGGGGGCGCCTTGGGGTCTGCCGAGGACAGCTGCGGGGGCGGGGAGGGGTCACGGTTCAGCCAGTCCCTGGTGCTGACCCTGTGCTGCCACGGGGGGCCCAAGGGGACCCTGCTGGTGCCCTTGGGAGTCACCTGTCCTGGTCCCCGAAGCCCCTCTGCTCCTGCCCTGGCCCCCCTCAGCCTGGGGCCCCAGGCGTCACTGTGGGCGTCACCAAGGGAGGTGGCATTCGGTCCTCCGGCGCCCCGTGGGGATGCCCACTGTGCAGATGAAGAAACCGAGGCTCAGAGGCAGGTGCCCTTTCTCCTTCCTGCACACGGGACCTGTTGGGACCTGAGGGAGCAGGAGGACCGGGTGGGGGGTAGTGGGGGAGGGGTGGGAAGATGACGTGAACTGGGGGTGGGGGAGGGGTCCGCCCGCGGTTCCTGCCTGTCCCAGCGCTAATCTTCCAGTCACACTCGAGGACTCAGGCACCAGCCAGGAAGTGACTGAGCAGAGTCCTGGACAGAGTCAGCCCCCAACCCGGGGAGGGGAAACCGAGGCCTGGAGTGCTCCGGCCTGGGCAGGGCACTCAGCCAGAGGCTTCGCCCCCCTTTTCTGAGCAGTTTCCACGGCCACCAGTGACAAATTGCGCCTGTGTCTCTCGGAAACAGGTGGCTGAGGACACCCTCGGCATGGGGGAAACCGAGGCCCGGGCGCCCTGTGTGAGCAGACCGGGAAGCCGGGAGGGGAGGCTGGGAACGCCGGCCACTGGGTGGGAACGCCCAGCGACGCCGGGCAGGGCCGTCTGGTGACTGCGCACGGAAGATGCGTCTCCCACACCCTGGGCCTCGAGGCTCCGGTCCGGAATCTCCGCCGGGCATTCACGCACAGGAAGGCTCCTCTGGGCAGGGCGCTGGTGGCAGCAGGGCGGGGGACTGCCCGGCAACGGCCTCTCGGGGACGGGGCGGGTGAGGAGCCCAGAAGGCGAGCATGGCTGCAGGGCTTGGGCAACACGACACACACGACCGCTTGGGGAGAGGACCCGGCGTCTGCTGGCTTCCACGTTCCTGCGTGTGCGCCGGGATCTTCTTGCGGCCTGTTACCGTCCGCAAAAACGTATTTTTTTTTAAGGCAGACCATTACTGTTAACAGGGAAGGAGACTCTGACACCGGAGCCTGGAGGTCACTCTGCTCGGTCACGGAGAGACAAGCGCCGTGACCCCGCCCGTGTGAGGTCCCCGAGGGCCAGGTTCTCAGGAAGTGGAAGGGTGGGGCCGGGGAGCTGGTGATTCACGGGGACGGGGCGTCCGCGTGGGAAGGGGAGAGGGTTCCGGAGGTGGGTGGCGGTGGTGGTAGCACGACGTTACCAATGTCCCCAGCGCCAACGAACCGCACGGGAGACACGGTGACACGGCACGTTTTGTTGCGTGCGTTTTCCAACAATTCGAGTGATCTCAAGTGGGGGGCAATTGGCAAACAGACACAGTGGCTTGTCCTGGACTTCTTCGCCCTCCGACCCTTCAGGACCCCCGAAAGCCCTCGGGTGTGGTCCCCACACAGCCCCGTCTCCTGCCTCAGTGTCTCCACTGAAAGATGGAGGGTGGTGGCTGAGCTAGACGCCACAGTGTGACGCCACCTCCCCTTGTTCCCAGGCTGGGCCTCACCCTCTGGGCAGGGACTTTAACCCCCTCGACTGGCCGGGCAGGAGGGGGCCGTGGCCCTGTCTCACCAGGGGCCAACGGTTGAGCCCAGGGTCGCACGGGTGGCCGCAGGAGGACCAGGGTTTGGGGTCCAGCCTGTCGGGGCCCCATATCTGAGCCTGTTTGCCCAACTGTGCCGAGGGCTGAAACCCCACTCAGGAGCTGGGCAGCCTCCGGTGGGCCTGAGTCAGGAACCCAAGCTGGGCCCAGGAGCCCGGCCTGGATCCCAGAGGCCCCGGAAGGGACCGGAAGTCTCGTGCCCAAGGCCTCAGCCTGCACCCCCGCCCCGCCCCACCCCACCCCACCCCACCCCAGCGTTGGCCTGAGACTGACTTTGGTTTGGGTCAACTCGATTTTTCTTTTCAACTTTACTTTGAGAGCAGTTTTAAGCTCACAGCAAAATGGAGCGCGGAAGGCACAGAGTGTTCCGTGTGCCCTGTCCCCACACGGCACAGCTTGCCCGACGTCAGTGCCCCGAGTGGCGCGCTTGCTACCAGCCGCCAGGGACGCCGGCCCGGGCCAGGCAGGGGCCCTCCCGTCCACGCTCCCGCACCCAGTCCAGGCCGCTCCCCTGGCAGCCGCACGTGTCCGCACTCTCGCAGGAAGTGACCAACAGAACCTCAGGGCTTTACATCAATATTTAATTTTTAACTTTAATGTGCAAATAAATAGAAAAGGAAAACTACATTCAAAACAGCTGCAAAGGAAGGGCAAGGCCCGGAACAGAAATTCCTCAAAAAAAACGGAAAAGAGACGCTCCCTAGAAGCATGCGGGGTTGGGCTGGGCTCGGGTGGCAGGGGGGCTCGGCGGGGTCTCGGCCTGGCTGTGCGGCCCGCGAGGCTCGGGGACAGGCCAGGCACAGGAGGGCCGCAGGCTCGGCCAAGATCCGTTCGGCAACGGAGGGTAGCAAGGATGGACGGGGACAAAGTGCCTGCGTCGCGCTGGGGAAGCGCGGGGGGCGGCCCTGGGCCGGCGCATCCGCCTCAGAGTCCCCAGGTCCCCAGGAAACTTCCAGAAACACGCGCCACCTCCAGGAGCCTAGAGTTTGGCACAGCTGAGGCAGGGCGAGGGCTGTGGTTGCTCCCGGCCTACCTGTGCGTGGAGCCGCCCAGGTGCGCGGGCGCCAGGGCAGGCCGGGGGCTCTCGGCATGGGGGGCGCTGGGCACCCCAGCCCCAGCCGCTCCCGACTCTTGGCACCCAGAGCCTCCGCGCGACAGTCACCTCCGCCCCTCACAAAGGGACGAAATGACCCGCCGAGGCCAGGCTGGCCCGCGAGGAGCCTGGGATGGGCGGAGGACCGTGGCTCCCCGGGCGGCGGGTGCAGGGACGGGGTCAGGGCGGCGCTCAGAGTCCCACGGAGGGGTCTCGCCCCCAAGGAGCCCGGGCGCTGCAGGAGTCACGCCACTGAGCGCGCGGAAGGGCATAAACACGCGTGTGCGTGTCCACCTCTCCACCACAGCCCCGCCGCGGCCCGGCCTCCCTCCGGCCTCGCGGCCCCCGGCTGAGGGGCTCCCCGAAGGCCCCGGGCATCGGCTCGGCGTTTCTGGAAGCTCTCAGGACGTTCGGAAGGACTCGCTTTTCAAGCGGGTCCACCCAGGGCCCTGCTCCTTCCTGGTCAGCGTCTCTGGACGCCGGCCCCTCCCAGGGGCGTGTCCCGAGAGGCTCGTCACCTGCCGCCTTCCCGAGACACCTGCGGACACGGACGGTGGCGCCGCCGGGATTTGGCACGTGTGGCGCGCGCACGGGCCGGGCAGGCGCGCAGGCGCGGGCGCTGCTCCTTGGCGGGGCGCCCCCCACCCCCACCGTGGCGGGGGCTGAGCGCGGGGTTGGAGGGCAGGAGGCTCAGGTTTGGCACGCGGCGGCCCACGGGAGGCCGAGGCGCCGGGGGAGGCGGCGCCCTGCTCTGAGCAGCTGTCCCGCAGCGGCGGGCCGGGAGACGCCCCCCCAGGTCGTCGGTGACCACGCCCCCCAGGGGACCCAGGCGGCGCGCAGGTCAGGGCGAGGCGGGGCGGCGGCTGTACTGCACGCGGTAGCGGGTCACGGGCAGGCCGTGCACGTGCACCGTCTCGCAGAGCGTCTTGCAGGGCACCATGTCCTCGTCCTCCTCGCCCATCAGCCAGTCCTGCACCAGGCTGGCCGCCTCCACGGTCACGTTGTCCTCCAGCCAGCGGCCGTGCCACTCCTCGAAGTGCTGGTGGTGGCGGAGCAGCACCAGCGGCTGCACCTGCGGGCGGGTGGGGGCGTCAGGGCCCGGGCGCGCTCAGGGCCCCGGGGCGAGCGAGCGGAGGGGGACGTGGGGAGACCCAGGCCCGGGACGCGCGGCAGGGGCCGGCACCTGCTTGGCGCGGCAGAGGGTGCCGCGGCGGTACATGTAGTCCTCGGAGTTGACGACGAACACCATCTTGTGCGTGCTGAGCTTGAAGCGGCAGTCCACGTCGCACGCGCCCTCCACGCCCACCAGCCGCTTCCAGGAGCCCCGCGCCTCCCCGCGCAGCGCCCGCGCCTGCTCGCTCTGCCACCGGCGGCGGAACTTCTTGAGGTTCCTGGGGGCGAGGGGGAGGCCTCACGGTGGCGGGCGGAGGGGAGGGCTTGCACACCCCGCAACCCTCGCGGCCCAGGAACAGAGGGAGATGGGCCGCCTCCCAGGGGAGCGGGAAAGGCGAACTGAAGGACGACGGAGACCCCTCCCCCACCTCTGCCCTGACCCAGGGCGGGGCGCCCCCCTCCCCCGCTGGCTCACTGTGGCGTCTCAGGCCAGGACCCCCGCCCGGACTGTGCCCCTCACCGCCCTGGGGCCACCGCTCTGCTCGCTCCAGCCCTGGCGCCAGGCGGGCAGGGCCGCACCTCGGCACACACGGGCGCTCAGTGCTCCCGCTCGTGCAGCCTCCAGGAGGACAGCGGGGCGCCCTGGGCCCGCGGGGAGGGGCTCTCACCTCTGCAGGAACACGGGCTTCAGGAGGAAGCCCTCGGTGGGCGAGCTGGACGCACCCTCGGTCCCCACGTACTGCTCCACGTACCGGGCCAGGTGCTGGGGACAGGGAGAGACACAGCCTGTGACGATCCCGCATCAGGGCCCAGGCCTCTCTGACCCCGGGCTCAGGGGGGTTTCAGTCCCCGTCCCCAGAGCATATGAGGACAACAGCAGCTGCCGAGGCCCCTAGTCGTGGTTGGGGACCCCGGACCCGCAGGCTCCGGAGCCGGACCCGGCCACGCAGGACGGGCACAGCCGGGCTGTGGTTGGGACAACTGTGGAAGCGGCATTCTGTGTCTCGGCAGGTAAATGCAGGCTGTGTCACAACCGTTCTGTGTCTGTCACATGCTAACTAAACACGGGGGGATGGGGGAGGGGGGCTCCTCACACAGAGCAGGGGCCAGGCGGAGGGGACAGAAAGACAGACACACCAGGACGGGTAGAAGGCCAGGTGCGAGCTGGGGTGAGTGACCGGTGGGCCGCACGGGGGCTGCCGGGTGCAGGGTGGGCGTGGCCTGCAGTCTGCCCGCCACCCCATTGAGGCCAAAGTCTCCTCCAGGATCAAACCTTGCAATTAAAAACCCTGTTTCCCGTGGGCTCCCGGAAGGGGCAGGGTGTGCAGGCCCCGGGGCCCCACGCTCTCCTGCCTTCGAAAGTGTCTCCTGGGCGGGGGGAGCCCCGCAGCCCGAGAGCCCAGAGGCAGGGAGCGAGGGGTGCTGAAGGGGAGCCCCCGTTGCTGGGGTAGTGGCAGGGAAGCCCCAGCTCCAGAGGGAGGCTTGGGCCCTACTGGCCCTGCACCCCCGCCGGCCAGCACCACAGACATGGGGCACCTTGCAGTCTCTCGGGAAAGCTGTTGGGCGCAGAGTGCTCTAGCCCCTGCTTCACAGATCTTAGCTGCTTCAGTTAAGACAAAAAGGCGGCAGCGGTGACCAGTTTTCCTTTTACAGGGTCTCATTCTGTCACCTAGGCTGGAGTTGCAGTGGTGTGGCCATAGCTCACTGCAGCCTTGAACACCTGAGCTCAAGCAACCCTCTTGCCTGGGCCTCCCGAGTAGCTGGGACTACAGGTGCATACCACCACAGCTGGCTAATTTTTGTTTTCCAATTGTGGGGTTTTTTTTTTGGAGACAGGGTCTTGCCCCAGCCTGTTGCCCAGGCTGGCCTCAAACTCCTGGTGTCAAGCGACTCTCCTGCCCCGGCCTCCCAAAGCGCTGGGATGACAGGTGTGAGCCACTGTGCCTGCCCTAGCAATCGTATTTTTGATGGACTTATTTGTTTACAGACAGCCGGGCTCCGGGAAAGGTTTTAAGGCAGCTCAGTGCAGACCCAGCGTCTGGTGGGCAGGGGTTCCCGGCACACGGGAGTTTTGGTGCTGACACCTGGAACGTGCCCGGCCAGGTGAGGCGAGCTGGTCGCTGCTGTGGGCTGAGCGGCTTCCTCCACCAAGACGCGTCCAAGCCCTGACCTCTAGCACCTATGACCGTGAGTCGCCTTACTACAGAGTAAGGTCTTTGTAGGTATCAGTCAAGGTGAGCCCCTCGTGGAGTAGGGTGGGCCCTAAATCCAACGACTAGTGTCCTTGTAAGAAAAGAGTCACACAGACACGTAGTGAGGCCACATGGACACAGAGGCAGGGGCCGGAGCGACGCAGCCACGGACAAGGAACGCTTGGAGTCACCAGACGGTGGGAAGGAGAAGAAAGGAAGGATCCACCACGACAGCCTTGGGGGGGGTGGCGTCTCTCGACGCCCTGACTTTGGACTTCTGGCCTCCAGAACCGTGACAGAACCAGGCTCTGTCCCTCCAAGCAACGTCTGTGATCCTCTGACGGCAGCCCCGGGTCATGACCTGGGCCACCCCGGCTGAGTGACAGGCACACAGGCGCGAGAGACGAGGGCAAGCAGGGGCCGTGGTCAGGAGGGGGTGAGGGGGCCGGGCAAGGACCCCCGGCTGCCTCGGTGACTGCCCTGGGGACAGTGCCCGTCTGTGTCTGTCACTACGGTGCGGGAGGCGAGTGGGGAAGCGTCGGTGCGAGTGGAGCGTGTGACTGGGGTCCGGGCTGGTGGGTCACCCCCTGGTGATCGGGAACTGGGCGCCGGCCCTCAGCCAGAGGCGTGGGGTGCAGAGCGCACGTGCCCCAGAGCGGGTACCCCGCAGCGGGGCCAGAGGGAGGCGGGGAGGCAGCCCGGCTCTCCCCACCCCTGCCCTCGGACACACCCGCCGGCTCCTAAGGGGTCCCCTGCTCTTTGGAGACCAAGCACGGACGGAGGCCAAGGGGCAGGGAGGGCAGCCCCAGCCCTGCTGGGCGCACAGGGAGAGCTCGGCGCACGGCGAGGGCCCCCTGGGCGGACGCTGCGCTGTGCCTGGCCGGCAGGTGCAGAGCCCGTAGTCGCTCCCTGCCCCCACCTCGTGCATACGGCAGGGACCGTGGGGCCGGGGCTCACCTGGACCTCCACGGGGTCCTCTGTCTGGGCCTCCTCCGTGTCCAGAAGTTCGATGGTCATGATCACCTGCCCTTTGCGCTGGAGGAACATCACCTGGCGGAGGAGGGGGACACAAGCAGCCCAAACTTCTGGAACCGCCTGGCCAATCACAGGACAAGGGCGCGAGGCCGCCGGGACCTGCCTCTGCCATCTTCCCGAGGCCCCGATGCCACCCCGTGGGGCCGAGGACCCTCCTGGGCTCCGCGCCGAAGCCGTGGTGCCGGCCCGTCGGCGGCCGAGCCAGAGTCCGGCCCGGGCCCGCCCCCAGAGCCGAGTGCCAGCGGCCGGCCCCACCGCTCCCGGCCCAGCGTGGCGAGCGCGGCCCCACCTTGAAGCAGTTCTCGTCGGCCATGCAGCGCTCGGCCTTCCACTGGTAGCTGGTCTCCCTGGCGGCGCGGACGCAGCGCGAGGACAGGTTCCCGCCGGCAGCGCCCCGCTTCCTCTCGTTCAGGTACAGCTCCACCACCTTCAGGCACACGTCGTCGCTCACCAGGTGGTGCAGCTGGCGGAGGGACAGCAGTGGGTGCCCCGCCCCCGCTGCGGCCCTCCCCCACCCAGGGACGGGGTCGCAAAGGGCTGGAATGCGCCAGGGCGGAGTCCGGGAGGTGAGAGTGGAAACCCGGGGCCAAGCAGGCCACGTGGGGTGACCTCAGCGCTGCACACGGACCAGACCAGACCGGATCAAACAGATCAGACCGGACCAAGCCAAACCAGACCAGACCAGGTCAGGCTAGACTGGACCAGATCAAACCAAACCCAGACCCAGACTGGGCCAGGCCAGACGAAACCAGACTAGACCAGACCAGACCCAAACCAGGCCAGGCCAACCCGGACCAGACCAGACTTGTGAACCCCACCTGGGCGTGAGACGCGCACAGGGAGGTCATGGAGAACACACACGGGTACACGGGTCTCATGCAGTGCCTGGCACGTGGCAGATACCCACTAAACACCTGCTACCATTGCTAAATACCAGAAACGGGAATTTTTAAGAAAAGGTGAGGCAAAACGTTCAGACGGGCCCGTGGCGAGGCAGGTGACAAAGGTCAGGGTGGGGGCCCCGCGTGAGCGCCTGGCCGGGCCTGGCGGAGCCACAGCCAGGCAGCGCGAGGCCCGAGCACAGCTCCAGCTAAGCAGCGGCACTTTCTCTGTTCCTCGTTTCTAACGGTTTCTAGAGGAGGTGTTTGCGGAAAGGGCGATTGTTTTCTAAAGTATTTGTCCAAGTGCCAAGTCGGGTCCAGCCTCCGGTGCTACAAATGAGGCCGGGCTGTGGAGGCCCAGCCGGGGCGCAGGGCTTGGCCTCCTGGCGCCCCCAACCTGTGACGGGGAGGGACCCATTCCTGGCACGTGGAGGGAAAGCGAGGGTGTCCGGATGCAGCCGTGAGTCCCGGTGAGTCCCTGCGGCCAGAGACGCAGGCCTCCCAGCCCCCAGCGGGAACGGGGCAGACTCCACCAACACGATCTGGAAATGGACACAAACGCCGCGGGCGATTTTCCACAATCGAGGTGTCCCAAAGGGATGACAGGGCCTGGACCACGCGAGCCATCGGGGACTGTAATTCGAGCCCCAGCGGAAGCAACGATGACCCAAGGCCGGGTACACGGGGAGCGTGGCCTTGCCCGCCGCTGGCGGGAGCCGACCAGGACACCGGACACTCCCCCGAGGCCGGACCCACCCGCCCGCCCCTCGCCCGGGGCAGAGGCAGAAGCAGGCGCAGACTCCAGCGGGAGACTCTCGCCACACGGCCACCACGCCACGCCGCGCTCGGGACACCGGCCGACAAACTGCGGAGGTTCCCGAGAATCCGGGGCAGGTGTGAGCACCGCGACCCAGATCGCAGAGGTGCTCCCGACTCAGCCGGGACAGACAGACAGGGCAGCCCGCTCGGGCAGGAATGGGGTGGGGGTGCTCGCGGGCGGTGGGGCAGGGCGGGGACACAGGGCGGCGGGGCGGGGGTTCTGTTCGTGAAGCCGCAGGGCCGCCTGCTGCGGGTTTGGCGCTGCGCTGCGCGTCTGCCTCGGCTTCGACAAAGGGTCCTCCCACCCTGGGAAGAAACGTCCTTCCTGAGACGTTCCGTGACCGCGTCTGGGGGACTGACGGCGTCACTGACAGACAGCCCACTGGACGGCCGGGAAGCCAGGGGCGCCTGGGCAGCGATCCGGCCGGAACCGGCAGGGCCGCGCGCTGGGGCCACGCCCGGCCGTGGGGTCCCTGCTGCTCCCATCTGCGACCGTTTCCGCTCACTCGCGTTCAGCTGGAGCCGGTTTTCTGGCGCCCGCCCCACTCCCCTCCACAGCACAAGTGGGTTCAGGGGTTCGCACTGCCTCTTTACCCCAAGAAAGGCCTGTGGACAGGGCCGCGCACGGCAGCAGCGACCGCGCGTCCACTGGCGCAGGAAGGACCTGCAGACCGCCTGCCCGCGACAGCTCGACGGGCCCAACAGGGAACGCAGCAGCGGGGCGCGCGAGGCGGACGGACCTCGACACCACGACGCTCAGAGGAAGCAGCCAGGCACGGGAGGCCACGCGACTTGTCTGCGGGAAGCGCCCAGGACCGGCGGGGCCACAGAGACGGGAGGCAGGTGGGCGGCTGCCCGGGCCAGGGGAGGGGGAGGGGCAGGGGGCGGGGAGGGGCTGCCGACGGGGCGGAGCTTCCTCCGGGGCGGATGACACTCCGGACGGCGACAGAAAGAGGTGCCGGCCGCCCGCACAATTCCGCGTACGTGCTGAACGCCGTGGGACCGCGCACCTCAAGGTGGCCAGTGTTACGTGATGTGAATTTCCACTCGGGGAGGTGGAAAAGGACAGGTCTCTGCCCCAAGCCTGCAGCGCCCCTCCCGGCCCGGGCGCGCGGCTGGTTCCCGGCACCCCGGCAGACAGGCCCCGCCAGGGGCAGCAGGGGCCCGCGAGGACGCCGGCTCACCTGCCGCGCGATGTTCTGCACCAGCTTGTCCATGGTGAAGCCGATGTAGGCGTGGATGGTGAACATCTCCCGCAGCGTGTCCTCGTACTGCGTGGGGTCGATGCTGCCCTCCAGCAGGCTGCGCACCATGTCCAGGAAGGCCGGGTAGTACTCCTCCAGCTCCACCTCACCTGGGGGCGGCGGGGACGGACGGCGCGGCCGCCGTTCACTCGCCGCCCGGCCAAGCCCTGCACCCCGGGCCCCCCCCAGAGGCCCAGCGGCCCTCGCCGGCCACCCTGGGACAGATCAGGGAACACCAGTGTCCACCGCCAGCCACCCGCCACCCAGGCTGCCGCCTACTCCCGGCCCTGTGACCGGGCCACGGCACCCAGAGAGCCACGGAGCGCCCCGGTGGCGTGACACGCCCAGGGGAGGCCGGTGGGGAACAGGCCCCCGCCCGCGTAGCCGCTGCACGCAGGGACCGCGCCACCGCTGGGGGAGCCTAGGAGAGGCTGGGCGAGAGGTACTCGGGGACCTCCGCGATACGTGGGTAACTTCCCGAGTGAATCACGTATTTCGAGATGAAAAATCAGAAAAAAAACCCACAACAGGACGTTCCAGGCGAGGAGCCCGGCCGGGCGCGGCCGCGGGAGCCTTACTGGGCTGCTTCAGGCGCAGCTCCATGGCGGGGTCGCTGCCCTTCTCGCGGCGGCCCTGGCAGAGCAGCCTCTCGCGCTCCTTCTCCGAGCGGTGCTCCAGCAGCTGCTTCTGCGCCTGGCGGTAGATCCGGAGCAGCCGCGAGCACAGGGTCTGGTGCAGCCGCAGGAAGAAGTACCAGTTGTTGTTGGCGAAGAAGAGGCTGTAGACGTCGTCCAGGGGCTTGGGCGGCGGCGGCGGGGGCGGCGGCTGCTCGGCGGCCGGCATGTCCCCGAAGGCCCCCTTCTCCTCTGGGGGGCTGCCCTGCGGCGCCGGGGCCGGCTTCTTCCGCTCGCCGGGGTCGACGCCCTGCCCCGGGGGGCTGTCCCTGTCCTCGTCGGCCGACTCCTCCGAGGCGCCCAGGTCCAGCTGCTGGGAGAAGAAGAGGCTGGGCACGAACTGGTGCAGCAGCTGGTGGATGGTGCCCTGGTCCTCCTTCTGGATGGCCGGCTGCCGCTTCACGTAGTAGCTGATGAGCGCCGCCGCGTCCTCCAGGATCTGCCGGTCCTCGTACACGAAGATGAGGTGCGGCTCGCTGGAGGGGGCGCTCCGGCCCTCCGAGTGCTGCTCCTGGTGCTGCAGCGGGACGGGGGGCGTTGGGGAGGCGACCCGGCACCCAGGGGACCCCCACGCCACCCGCGGAGCTCCCTGTTCGTGGGCTGCCCGGAGAGGGCGGGTGACCGCTGTCGGCGAACGGCAGGGTCTGGGGCAGGCGGGTCGCGTGCCGTGACCCCACGTGAAGCCCCTCATGTTCCCAGCCCCTTCCCGAAAGGCAAGGCAGGCCCGGTCCCACGGGACCTCAGCTGGAAAGCTGGGCAGGGGGCACTGAGGGCCACAGGGAAATGGCGCCCAGCCGTGAGTCCTTGACGTCACCGCCATCAGCACCCCGCCCGCTCCAACCCTGTCCCCGTGCATCCTTGCCCTCACCGCCATCAGCACCCCGCCCGCCCCCGCACCCGCCCGCTCCAACCCTCTCCCCGTGCGTCCTTGCCCTCACCGCCATCAGCACCCCACCGGCCCCCGCACCCGCCCGCTCCAACCCTCTCCCCGTGCGTCCTTGCCCTCACCGCCATCAGCACCCCGCCCGCCCCCGCCCCCTCCGACCCTCTCCCCGTGCGTCCAAAGCAGTTTGGCCAAAAGGAACTCGGTCGCCCTGGGACCCCTCCTGGCACTCCCAAGCCGCTCAGAGGCCCCAACGCCTGCGGGACGAAAACTGGGGGGGGGGGGCGCCTCCCCCTTCCCCCCCCCGCCGGGCCTCAGCCTCCCGGGGTGAACGAGCCCTGTGTCTTCTCGCCCCTGGCTGCGCTCCTTTGCTAAACGTGCGTTTTTTCTGGCAGTCTGAGCTGTCCTGTCCTCCCCCCGCAGGGCAGTGTTGGGCACGGTGGGGCCCGAGCACAGGGAGGGCTGCCAGGCTGGGACCACGGGCAGCCCCTGGCCCCACGTGACCGGCCCCCTCCTATCGGTTGCTACGTCCCACGTGTCCCACCCATGCCTCGAACACCCGCAAAGTCCTGTTGACGTCCTCTCTGGGCGGGGTCCGATGCACGTGACATCATGCATGTGGTACGTGACCCTGCGCTGCAAACCACGGGTCGCAGGAGGGTCTGACTCCGGAACGCGCAGAGAACCCAGACCTGCAGGGACCGCCTCAGCGCCACCCATCCCCCCCGCCCCCGGGAGAGTCCCAGGAACTTGGCAGTGACGCTGGTGGGTGTCAAGGGCCACGTCACCAGCCCTGCAGGCACCACAGGCCCCTGGGGCTGGGCCCGGTGTCGAAGCCCCACTGGGACTAGTGCGAGGACGCCAGGCGGCTCCTGGGTGGGCCTGGGGCCCCGCGGGAGTGGGAGGGAGGGGTCTCCAGGGCTGACGGGCTCTGGGCAGGCCCCACCTGCCAGCCGGGAGGCCCTGGGCCAGCAGCCTGCCCCCCCACCTCTGCAACGCAAAGGGAGGTGCGGGCGGCACTGCGCAGCTATGTGGGAACGAGGGGGACCGTGAGGGCCGCCGCCTGCCCCGGTGGGCATCCACGCAACCACGTCCTTTCCCCATCCCGCGATCTGGGCACCGCCCAGCCGGGGTGCAGCGTCCCCCCTCCCGGCCGCCTCCCCAGGCTCCCGCCACCTCCCCGCCCAGGCTCCCGCACGTTTGTGAAAAGTCCCAAATCCTCGAAACCCCGCTCGCCTCAGTTCACGATCCCTGCATGAGCTGGGCCCTGCAGACACGAGGACCCTCACCTCGCCATAGCTTTGCACAGGCGACGCCAGTAGCCCTGCCTGACCTCGGGGAAACTGAGGCACGGGGACCCGGCAACCTGCCTGTGGTGGCGGGGGGGGGGGGCCTCACCTCGTCGTAGACGCTCTCGATCTCGTTGAGCAGGCTCTTGGAGCGCAGGGCCTTGGTGTCGTTCTGCTTGAAGTTCACGGCCTGGTGGTCGAGGGACTTGAGGTACGCCTTCTCGTACTGCTCCCGCCAGATCTTGTTGAAGCCCTGCTGCGCCTCCCGCCACTCCTCCTCCTTGGCCTTCAGCCTGCGGGCGAGAGGGGCTCAGCGCGGGGACCGCCGGGGCGCCCTCCTCAGAGCATGCTGCGCCGGCATGGCCCGCCCCGCCCCCCTCTGGACCTGACTGCGGACTGACGGCAGAACCCAGGCCCGGCCCGCCCGCCACAGGGCTGCACTGCGGCAAAGCCGAGGAGGGGGAGGGGAGGCCCTACGCAACCTGGCCCCGCACACTCCGTGCAGCTGCCAGCGTGGCCCCGGCTCCCTCACTCCGCGCCCGAGAGGCACCGGCTTGGGAACCCCGGGCCTCGTGGCGCCGGCCTGGGAGTGGCCGCCGGATAAACACCTGCTCGCTAGCCTGGCCGGGGTCTGGGCAGTGTCACTACATAGGAGGCGCGCTGTGGTGCAAAGGGGTCCCCCCCCCTTTGTTTGCAGGAGTTACTGGCGTGTCTAGACGCGGCTGTGATTATGCGCGTCGTAGAAGGTCCTAGAAGGTCAGGACGGGAGGGAAGACCGGGAGGCGCTGGGGACCCCCTGGGGTGGCGCCTGCTGACAGACGGCGCTCGGCAGCTCTCTGGGGGCTCCCGCGACAGGCGGTGGGGGGCGCCGTGGGACACCTTTTCAGGACAACGGGGACGGCGGTGACGGGGTTCTTCTTGAGGCTCTCGATGATCTCTGGGGCCTTGTCGCCGTAGATGCGGTGGATGGCGCGCCGCTGGATCACCTCCGAGGTGCCCCCCAGCGAGTCGTCCAGGCGGAACTTCTCCTGGTCTTCCGGCGCCATCCGCGACAGCTTCTTCTGCACGCTCTCCAGCACCCGGATGGTGGCCAGGTTGGTCTCCAGGACGACGTCTAACTGCGGGAAGGCAGGCAAGGACTCAGGTGGGCACCGCGGGTTCTGGGGCAACCGAGACCCTCAGCCGCCCACCGCAGCGGGAGCGCCCAGCAGCCAGAACGGGGGGGGGGGCCCGTCCGGGGAGGGACGGGGGTCCCCACGCTCCGCCAGGACATCCTCAGGACATCCGGGACCCGCAGTGCCCACGGCCCAGGGACAAGCAGGCCACCGTGCGGGGGGAATGCCCACCCCAAAGGGTTACCTGCCGCGCAGTTCCACCAAAACAACCTGCCCGAAGTGTTGCAGCGGCGGGTGGGGAAGGGGCCGGTGGCCGCCGGGGCTGGGGACCGGGCGGGGGTGCAGGGAGGCCGGCGTGGCTCTGAGTTAGAGCAGCACCCGGGCCCCGCGCGGGGCTAGGGCTGCTCCCGATCGCCCTTGGTGGTGGGGACACAGACTCCCACAGATGACAAGAAAACACAAGACCGAGTATGCGGGCACACACACCACACACGTGTACAAATGCACACGCACACACACACACGTGCGAGTCAGACTGGGGAAGCGGAGTGAGGCCGGCGGGTTGCAGCAATGTCAGCACCGGCCATGACCAAGGACCCGAGTCCCACGGGATGTCAACCTGCCCTGGGGGGCGGGGAGTGGGGACCCGGGCTCTCTGTTATTTCTTATGCTCCATGTGACTCTGCCATGATGCCAATAAAAAATTTCAATTAAAAAAATGAGACAAATTTAATTTGAGAGCTTTTGTTTTTTTTTTTAGAGACAGAGTCTCACTCTGTTGCCCGGGCTACAGTGCCATGGCGTCATCGTAGCTCACAGCAACCTCAAACTCCTGGGCTCAAGCGATCCTCCTGCCTCAGCCTCCCGAATAGCTGGGACTACAGGCATGCACCACCATGCCCGGCTAATTTTTTCTATATATTTTTAGTTGTTTGGCTAATTTATTTCTATTTTTAGTAGAGACTGGGTCTCGCTCTTGCTCAGGCTGGTCTCAAACTCCTGAACTCAAACCATCCTCCCGCCTCGGCCTCCCAGAGTGCTGGGATTACAGGCGTGAGCCACCGCGTCCGGCCTAAAAACTTTTAAAACAAACAGAAAATGCCGTCCTGCAGCCTGCCCGGAGGTAGCAAGGGCTGGCAGAAATGGACGCGTCTGGAAGCCGCCTGCCTCCTGCTGGAAAGTGCTGGAACCCTTGTTACCGCAAAGGAGCCTGGGAAGGAGGACCAGGGTGCATCCATGTGGGGACGCGGGGAGGTCACAGCCGCCCGGGGCGCGGCACCCAGCGCACACACACCTCGAAACGCTCGTCCTCACAGCGGTGCAGCTGCTCCTCGTACGGCGTCTTCTTGGAGCTGACGAAGGTGGAGTCTTCCGACCAGGAGGGGAAGGACACCCAGGTGTCGTTCAGCACCTGCACGCAGAGCACACGCTGTGACCGGCGCGTGGGCCGGCGGCACACACCGCTCCCTCTGCTGCCCCGCGTGGAAGACGGGCAGACACGTGGCGCCGCCCTGGGCGACGACCTCATCACACAGAGGGTGAGATTAATTTTAAAGTTTTCAAGGGAAAACAGGACTCCGGCCAAGTGAACACACTATGCTGCGGCTGTCCCCTGGCGTCGGCAGAGCACTGGTTCCAGGACCCCCTCGGCTGCCCAAATGCTCGGATGTCCAAACCTCTGCTGTGAAGCGGCCCCGCACTCGCGTGTAACCCGAGCACATACATCCTCCCGTGAATTCAACCACCTCTCGATCACTTATAATGCCTAGTACAACGTAAATGCTACAAAAATAGTTGCTACACCGCGTTGCTTTTTTATTTGGGATTACTTTTGTTACGTCCTTTTTTCATTCTCAGATGTTTTCTTTTTTGTTTTTTTCTTTTTTAAAATAAATAATTTTTAATTCCTTTTTTTTTTTTTTTTTACTGTAATTGAGGTCCATGTGTTACTAGACCCCGATGTTTTCAATCCAAGGTTGGTGCATCCGTGGATGCGGCCCCAGTGGATGCTAAGGGCTGACTGCATGATTGGCAGACTCTCCCCGGAAAGGGCCAGGTGACAATCATCTAAGGCTCTGCGTGCCATCTGGGATGAACACTCAAGCCTGCCTTTGCAGAGAGAAGACGGCCACGGGCAATATGTAAATGAACGGTCACGGCTGTGAGCCAATAAAACTTTATTTATAAACCGCAGGCAGCGGGCCGGGGCCCACGGGCCACAGTTTGCTGACCCCTGCACTGTATCTTGGAATCCAGCAGGTACTCTTGAATTCTGGACATGCAGTAATCATCTGTCCACGAACCCTGAAGAAGTGTCCAACGGTCAAGCTAAATAGAAACACACTGGGGTCAGTGAGCCTGGACACAGCCGGATCGTGGCAGCAAGGAACCCACGCCTCACAAGGGAGGAATAAGCCACACTTCACACCGTCGACGTGTGCTGTGTCTTGCCAAAACTACCAGCACGTATGATACTGGTGTGTCTTCTCAGGCAGTTTTTTGCTGGGCCGCATCCCAGCACCACCCATTATCCGATATTTGGGGGGGCTGAGCACTGGGTCTTTCATCCACGGGACGGGGGGCACGCGGTGTTGGCTGGGGAGGGTGGGGCGCCGTACCCGCCGAGCCCCAGGGAGCACTACCTCCTTGCAGATGGCCGTCCTCCCGCTGCACTTGGGCTGCTGGTAGGTTTTGGGGAGCGCCCGGTAGCTGGATCCGATGCGCTTGCAAGAGGCGTAGTCGATTTCCCGGCTTATTCCGTCCCCCGACCTGTCGCTCATGGGAGGCGCAAACGACAGCTCTTTCACCCCCAGGAAGGACTTGAACTGTGCAAAGAGTTCTGGAAATTTCCTTCAAAGACAAAGACAAAAGGTAAGGTGGTGTCCATGGGACCCTCCGAGAGGGCTCTGGGGACTTCAGAATGGCTTCACATGGACAGCCGGGTTAAAGACAGTCAGAATTCAACGTCGCGTCCGGGAGGGACCGAGAGGCGGAACCAAGCGTCAGCTGACATAAAGACCCTGCAGGTCCCCGGGTGTGGTGTGACTCTGGCCCACACTGCGTCAGCACCTGTGCCGAGTCAGACAAGAAACTGGGGGTCGGGGGGAAGTGCAGCCCAGCCTGACCGTGTGACCCCGTTTATGAGAAACCCGACAGCCACACACACACCCAGAAGGCAGAGGATGAGCAAAGAGCCACACTTTGGGGCTCTGGGGGCAGAGCACCCCAGACTCTGCCCAAACCGCACACCTAGCTCACTTATGAGTGCCTGGCCCAGGCCAAGGAAGAGGGATTCCACCTTAGCCTCAACCTTCTCAGCTTTAAATCAGGACTAGAGAGGCCGGGCGCGGTGGCCCACACCTCTAATCCTAGCACTCTGGGAGGCCGAGGCGGGAGGATTGCCTGAGGCCAGCCTGAGCAAGAGTGAGACCCCATCTCTACTAAAACTAGAAAAATGAGCCGGGCATGGTGGCGCATGCCTGTAGTCCCAGCTACTCGGGGGGCTGAGGCAGGAGATTCCCCTGAGCCCAGGAGTCTGAGGTTGCCGTGAGCTATGATGACGCCACTGCACTCCAGCCCGGGTGACAGAGCAAGACTCTGTCTCAAAAAAAGCAGCAGTAAGGCCTACAATCGGAGGGAAAGAAACTCAGGGATGAAAGGAGACGCACGGGACGTAACAGAACAAACCCTGACGCGGGTGTCTGGCAATGCCCACCTGGCACCACAGCACAATCGGCGCAGGAGGCAACCGGCCCCAAAGTCTGGACATCCTCGAGACGAGACGGGCAGGGACGGGGATGGCACGTGGAGGGGTCCCTGGGCCGGGTGGAGGTCTGTTTTTGGCCCGGGGCTGGGGACCAGGGTGCCTGCCTAATAATGAAGCATTAAGCCATCTATCATGTGACTTCCTGGATCTGCATTTCATTTTACATCAGAAGAATGTCTTACAGGAAGGATTTTTTAAATTAATGGAAAGCGGAAAGCGGCTTACACAGTACTGTTGTTTTAAAGGCTGAACAGGCCAGTTATGTATAATGTGCAGTCAAAATGTACAAGATCCATTTTGTTTTTGTTTTTTTTTTGGAGACAGGGTGTCGCTTGGATGCCTGGGCTGGAGTGCAGTGGCGTCAGCCTCGCTCACAGCAACTTCAAACTCCTGGGCTCAGGCGATCCTCCTGCCTCAGCCTCCCAAGTAGCTGGGACTACAGGTGCATGCCATCACCCTAAGTATTTTGTTTTTTATAGAGACAGAGTCTCACTATGTTGCCCAGGCTGGTCTCGAACTCTTAGCCTCCCCGCTTGGCCTCCCAAAGTGTTGAGATTACAGGCATGAGCCATGGCACCCAGCCCAGAGTCCCATTAAAAAAAAAAAAATCTTCATTTATATTTTTTTCTGGAGGTTCTTCCTTTGTTTAGGCAGATCCAAGTTTTTGACTTAAATCCTTTCCTTCTGCCTAAAGAAATCTTTTTTTTTTTGAGAGACGCTATTTTAAGAGTCCTACAGGCAGAGCCCACCCGGAGCTCTCAGGAGCTCTGGGGAAGCCCAAGTAGGTGCATTTATACTCCCCAACTCACACCATCAGCCCTGCAGCCCAAGAGGGGCCGTGGGCGTGCGCAGCTGCCACTCTGCCCAGCAGGCCCCGCCCTCGGCTGCCCTGGTCACCAGCGGGAACTTCCTCCCCTAACGAGGCTCCTCCCCGCGTAGCCGCGGCCCAGTTCTAAGTGGGAGAGCTTTGCGAGCATCTCGGGGCGGCTCTCCGGGGAATCACACTGGCTGTAAGCGAGCCCGTCCCGGAAGGCTGTCCCCTGCGTGGCTCCACTGACGCGCATTTTGTGATTATAAATTTTGGAGACGGAGAACAGATGAGCGGTTGCCGGGGTCTGAAACGGACCCGGGCGGGGGCGGGGTTTGGGGCATGGAAAGAAAAGGTCCACGCGCGGCCCCGGAGCCGCTGGGTGTCCCGCCGCGGCAGAGGCACGGAGCTCACGGTGACCACACTGAGCAAAGCACGCGCAGCGCGATTCGGGGCAGACGACGCGGCCTGAAGAGGTCGGCGGGCCGCGTGAGCGTCAACACAGTGAGTCACGGTCACGTCCTCGACAGGCTCTCGGGAACTGCGACTTTAGGCAAAATGAGAATAACGGCACGAATGTGACCACGGGCGGGTCGACGTCAACAAGAGTGAAGTCCCCACGGCACGTGTCCGGGCACATGGCACACCACCCAACCGTAATGAAAGACGCAAACGCTTCCACTGCTACAGACGGACATAAACGTAGGCTACGCGCACAGTTCAGAGCTGAGCAACGACAAGCAAGGCAACGATTCACCCGGAGATGCCGGTGTAGGGTCCCGGGTGCCCAGAGCCCGTCCGGGGAGCTCGGGGCCCGGCGGGCACTGACCTGGAGGGGCCGCCATCGCGTCCCAGGTGGGGGAGCCTAGGGAAACAAAGCCCCCGGGAGCCCGGGCGCCGGCCGCTCACCCTAGGAACGGGCTGACGAGCTGCAGGAGCTCGGAGCCGGACACCAGCTCCTGGTTGAAGAGCGCGATGCAGCGGAGGAAGTTCTCGTACACCTCCTGGCTCTTCAGCACCCTGCGCACCTGCGGGGAGAGCGAGGGCCACCGTGAACCCTGCTCCTCCGCCCCTGCCGGAGTCACCTGCCACGAGCCAGCAGCACGACGCGCCGCACAGGAGCGGCTGCGGTGTGAGTGCGCCGTCTCGCCGGAGCTGCCGGGGCCTGCGCGGAGCTCCAGGACACTCCCAATTTGGGAAGAGTCACACAGCTGCTGAGCCACAGACGTGTGTGTCCTCAAAGCCGGCTTGGACCCTCGGCTCCAACCTCCCCTGCCGCGGCCTCCGCCTGCCACGCCTGCACCCCACGAGGGACCGCTCCCTCCCGTGGGGATAGCTGGGGCCGGCCCCTCCTCCCGGCCCTGCTGCCCCCCCCCCGCCCCACGCCCAGGCTCAGCAAGGCCTGCCCGGGAGGGGGCAGGCCCAGGGGGTGTTGGCCCAGCCGGCTGGACCCAGCACCCCCGAGATGGAAGCTGGGGGGCCGTCCTCACCTTGTCGAAGAAGGAGAACTCCTGCAGGGTCCCGTACTTGCCCACGGCGGCGATGGACAGGTCTTTGGTGCCGCGGAGCTTCATCTTCTTCTGTGGAGACAGAGTCCGCGCGGTTAGCGCCCGTGTGGCCGCAGACGGCCTCTGCCCGTCTCTGTCACCCCTGACAGCGCTGCGACCCAGCTCCCCCGAAGGAACCCGAGAGGTGCTGGGTGGGGGATGGGCAGGAGCCCCCCTGTCGCCCAGGACCCCAAACGACGCCCTCGGGACCACCTGCCGATGTTCGTGGTGCCCGGCCCGTGGGGTGAGGGCGTGCCTCCCAGCGCAGCCTCGGCCTCTGCGAGCTGGGGAGGGTGAGGCCACACCCCCCCACCCCACCCCACCCCACCCCCACCCCACCCCCGCCAGATCTGGGGTCTAAATCTCGGCAGGTGAGGGCTTTGGGGAACAGGTGGGAAAGCCACTGGGCTGGAATGGCAAGGGGGACGTGCCCCTGGGTGCGGTGACCTCGGAGCCCTTTCCTGCCCCTGCTTTGCCCCGTGGGCTGAGGCGGTGACAACGAGGGACCAGGAGGGGTGACACTGGAGAGCCAGGTTCCAGGCCCCTGCGGAGACCGTCTCTGAGCGGGACCCAGCCCGAGCGTGACTACACACCCGCCCGGGACGCTGCATTCGCAGCCAGAACCCCCAAGTGCCTGAGGGATGAGGAGGGTGAGGCGGGAGGGCACGGGGGCCGGGCTGAGGGGCCGGACCTGCAACGGTGCGGGCGTCAAGATCAGCAGAGCAGTAACGGGTTATAGCCCCACGCCCATGCTGACACAGCTGAACCAACGGGGACGAAGACAAAGCTCCTCCCTACGGCAGAAAGACAACTGGCAAACGGACAGGGAGCGATGGAACCAGAACCACCCTCGCCGGTGGCAGGAGCTGGGTCTCGGCCCCACTGGCCCTCAGCGGTGCGGGAGGAACCCGCGCAACTGCACGTGCAGGCCTGCCCGTGAATGAGCCCCGGTGGTCAAAGGAGCGGACTGCACTCTCCCTTCTTCTGACCTTGGGGGTGACCCTCCCCCTCTTCCTCCTCACAACACTCTCGTGAGACACAGAGACGGGTGAACGGCCAGCTTAGAGGGGAGTCCGTGTCCCAAGGTCGCATGGCTGGCGAACCTCAAGCCAAACCAGGGTCCGGCCCCTGCCCCGTCTCTGCACTTGCTCCCTGGTCGCCTCCAGGGAGGCCAGGCTCGCGGGCGCCCGCGCAGACGGCGACGGTTACCTTGGCGGGCGCGGACACGGGGCGGAGGAGCGAGGGCCGGGAGCGCTTCTTGCTGTGTTCCAGACCCTTCTCGTGCTCGCTCTTCTGGACGCTGTTCATCTCGCACGGCCCGTTCCCCGTGAACTGCGGACACAGACGCGGGCAGCGGTGAGCGCTGGAGCCACGGGGCGGGGGTGTCCGAGCGCACAGAGCTGCTCGCGCTCGGCCGGGCCCAAGCGGGCTCTGTGTGCAGCAGGTGGCGCCGGCGAGACCCAAGCGGGCTCTGTGTGCAGCAGGTGGCGCCGGCGAGACGCTCGGGTCCACCGAGAAGGGACCTGGGCACCGAATCCCGGAGGAGGCCCGAGCACGGCCTCCGTGGAGGAGGGAGGCGGAGGCCGAGCTGGGTGTGCTGGTGCAGGGGCTCACCCCGCCGACCACCGGCAGGCGTCTCGCCGCACGCACGCCGGCGCCACGGAAACGCCAGGCACGGTGGGCACGGAAACAGGCGGCAGGAGGAAGCGGCCCACACTCACCAGGTCACGGGTGGGGCCCTGGAGCCGGGCTTTTAACTGATTCCCGTGAAAGGAGGACGCCTGCTGGGGCAACGGCACGTCTCGCGGGGAGCTGTAGCAGGAGCGGGGCCTCCCCTCTTCCAGGCTCCAGCCGCCAACCAACAGGTCTGGGACGCTCACCCCAAGCAGGGGCCCTACCTACAGCGTGCTGACAGTATTTGTGGAGAGTGGTTCTGGAACAACCCATGCAGGATCTGCATCTGCATGAACGTACCACAAAGCTGGAGGAGGCAGGAGACGCACGGACAGATGGCAGGTTCCCTGCAGACCGTGGGCAGGGCCGGAGGGGCCCCGCAGCGTTCCACCCCCGAGACCGCCCCCGCTGCATCCCCGGTTCCCACACCACCACCACCACGGGACCAGGACTCGGCGACACCACGCAAAGGCCGCGTCGTCGGCCCAAAGCACGGGTGAGATGACCGTCGTGGTGCCCTGAACGAAACAGCTGGCAGCCATCAGACACGGTGAGCCGGCTCTGGTTGCTACCAGGGACAGGTGTACCCAGCATATGAAGTGAAAAAGAAAAAGAAACAAAAAACCCCCGCAAAACCCAAGGGGCAGAATGAACAAGATGGCATTTGTTACTTCTATTAATATTTAGGGGTAAGCATTTGTCTGCAGATGCAGGGGAAATTTCTGGAAAGACACATAAGACACGTGCTAGTGTTGACCTCGGGAAAGAACGACTAGGAACTGAGCCAAGGGACGGAAGTCTGCACGTTATACCTGATACCCTTGCTGATGCTTGGTTTTTTTCATGAGCGTGCACCATTTTTACAATAATAATAAAGACCTACTATCTAGCCACAGGCAAGACCTGTCCCTTAGGGAATTAAACTTACGAGGGGAATAATTACCCAAAGACTCAAGGCTATTCCAAAAACCGTAAGTGGAGAAACTGCCATCCGTGTAATGATTCTCCACTAGTATCTGGTTTTGTAGATCCTAGAACAGGGGCAAACATCAGTTCCTAAAAGGGGCAGCCAGGTGGTGACATGACATGTGCAGAGTAGGACCGGAGAGAGGCAGGGGACACCTGCCGGCTCACCAAGTGGGTATCACCCATCTTCTCCCAAGAGTTCACATGGCTCTCGATTTTCAGTTAAACGTCCCAATTTGTGAATGCTTGAGCCAGATGGACCCCAGAAACCACCTAGACCAGGGACTGGCAAATTAACCATGTTAGGGCCTGTTTTGGGGAGTAAAATTTTACTGGTACCCAGCCATGCCCATTTGTTTTGTCAATAAAGATTTATTGGTATCCAGCCACACCCATTCATTTTGTGAATAAAGTTTTATTGGCACATAGCCACGCCTATTCACTGACGTACGAGTTCCATGGCTGCTTTTGAGCTACTAGTCTTTGCAGCAGAGGTCAACTGGCTTGCAAAGCCTGAAGGATTAACTGTCTGGCCCTTTATAGGAAAAGTTCGCCGACCCCTGGTCTGGGCCAAACGGTTGATTTTAGTTAGAACAATGCCAGATTTCATCCTTGCTTTCTTCTACCTGCAGTTTTAACAGACGCCCCAAAATCAGCAGAAAAGCTTGTGAAGGGTATAACCTCAGTCACACCAAGCGGTATAAGTGGGTGTTTTTAGTAATTTTGAAAAGTTGATACAATCTTTCTAAACATACAAGATAGCTCTAATCATCCAGTTTACACTAAACATATTTGCTGAATTGATTAAAAAAAAAAGATGCCATTTAAAGAAACTGTGTTGGCAGGCAGTTTTCTGAGGGAAATAATTTTTCTAGGGTGATTTTGAAAGGACCAACTTTTTAACTTCGTAAATGCCAGCCTTGTCCACCAGGGGGCGCCATGGCCACAGCCATCAGAGGACAAGAGGCTCCAGCCCTTGCACATGACCGCTGGGATGAAGGCTCAGAGCTAAGGCTGCCCTTGCTGCAGGACTACGCAGGGCTGGGGCGGGTGGTGAGGCTGCTGGTTCCATCAGTGACCAAATGTCCACTGTGCACGGCCCCCAGAGCCCGGCAGACGGGGCTCCCTGCCCGCTGCGCCCCGTCTCAGAACCAGCTTCTCTGTGCAGCTGCTGTCTTAGGACGCTGGAGCCCCTTCCCTGAGGAATCTTCTGAGCATGCTAGTGGGAGACATCCTCACGGCCACCTCCTAGAGGAGGAAGCTGAGGCACAGGAAGCCACCCGCCGGGCTCCCGAAACCAGGAGGTGACAAGGCCAGGCAGGAACCAGGTGCACGACCGCGAGCCCTGGCTCCAGGCACCGCACCCGCCAGGGCAGGGTCCGGCGTCAATCCAGAACACCTCCAGCTGTGGAGCGAGGGCGAGCCCTGGGCCCCCGGCCGTCCGCCACGGCAGCCACAGCTGGCGCAGGCCACGAGGGCTGGACTGTCCTCGCCCCATCACTCCGCACCGTCCGCCAGGGACGCTGTGTGCACCCATCTCCCTGCGGGGACGGAGAAGAGCTGCTGACAGAGTCAGAGCTGAGCCGCGAGACCCAGATTCGAGAGGACGGGACCCGACACGACCAGCAAGCGTGCGACGGGGGAGGACGCGGCCTCACGGCGTGGGTGACGGCACTTGGCCTGGGCTGCCGGGGACCAGGAGGCTGAACAGCCGCCACCTGGGGCTGCACCAGCACCACAAGCTGTGAGGCAGGAGGGAGGCAGGGAGCGCCCCCTGCTCCGAGTGGCCACGCGGCCCTGGGAGGGACCCGACATGCAGCAAGGCAGGGCTGACGGCAGGATTCCCGAGGGAGGGGGAGAAAACCTCACAGCTCACATCGTATGCAGAAGTGAACTGAAAGCTTTTCCTCTAGGATCAGGAACAAGGCAAAGACGCCGCTGTCCCCACTGCTATTCAACAGAGTTCTGGGAGGCCTTGCCAGGGTAATCAGGCAAAAGAAGGGTAATCAGAAAAAGAAGAAAAAGACATCCACATTGGAAATAGAAAAGGGAAAACTATCCCTATTTGCAGATGACATGATCTGATATATAGGAAATCGTGAAGAGTCTATGAAAACTATTAAAGCTAATAAACAAGTTGAGGAAAGTTGTAGGATACAGATCAACACGCCAAAGATCAGTGGTGTTTCTATAAACACTAGCAATGAGCAATCCAAAAACAAAATTTAAGAAAATGTTTCCATTTACAATTGCGTCAATAATAGTAACATACTTGGGAATAAATTTAACCATGGAGGTGCAAAACTTGTACACCGAAAACTATAAAATTCTGCCAAGGGAATTGAAAGATGATATACATAAATGGAGAGACTGTGTTGGTACATTGAAAGACTTACTGTTGTCAAATGGCAACATTCCCCAAGGTGCTCTAAGGATTTAATGAGTCCCCATCGAAATCACAATGGCTATTTTCGCAGAAATGTAAAAAGCTGATTTTCAAACACACACAGAATTGCAAGGGGTGCTGAACACCAAAACAATCTTGAAAAGGAACAAAGTTGGAAGGCACACTTCCTGATTTCAAACTTACTATAAAGTTACAGTGATCAAAACAGTGTGGTACTGGCGTAAGAACAGACACACAGACCCATGGCTTAGAAGTGAGAGTTCCAAAATAAAACCATACAACTATAGTCGATACATTTTCAACAGTGGTGCCAAGATCATTCACAAGAGGAAAGAACAGTTTTTTCAACAAATACTGCCAGGACAACTAGATCTCCATTTGTAGAAGAATGAATTTGGACCCCTACCTCACACCAGATACAAAAATTAACCCAAAATGGGTCAATGATCTAAATATGAGAGCTACAACTATAAAACTGTTAGAAGAAAACACACGAGGGTAAACCTTCATGATCTTGACTTAGCAATAATTTCTTAGATTTCACACTAAAAGCATGAGTAACATAAAAAAATCAGATAAATTGGACTTCTTCAAAATTAAAAACTTTTGTGCATCAAAGGACACTAACAAGAAAGCAAGAAAATCTACAGAATGGAAGAGAATATTTGCAAATCATATCTTGATAAGGGTCTCATCTCAGAATACACAAAGAAATCCTATAACTCAACAACAACAAAAACAAATTTAGAAATTAGCAAAGGACTTGAATACACACTTCTCCAAAGAAGATGCATTGCCAGAAAGGATGCTCAACATCATTAGTCATCAGGGAAATGCAAACCAAAACCACGATGCAATCCCACATCACACTGATTGTGACGGCTATAACACACACACACACACACACACACACACACACACACAACTAGAAAATAAGCACTGGCCAGAATGCAGACCCCAGCGCACAGCTGCTGAGAATGTAAGATGGTGCAGCCACTGTGCAAAACAGTTTAGAGGTTCTTCAGAAAGTTCAACACAGGATTAGCGTAGGACCCCGCAATTCCACTGCTGGGTGTAAACCGAGAGAAGTGAGAACAAGTGATCGAACAAATCCTCGTACACGAATGTGCACAGCAGCGCCATTCACCGCAGCCAGCAGGCCCAGGCAGCACAAACGCCCATCAACAGATACAGGGACCGGACAAATACAACGCGGTGTGCCCACACACGGGAGCATCTGACCGTAAAGAGGAAGGAACCTTGAAAACAAGCTCAGTGAGAGGAGCCAGACAGGAAGGCCACCACGCGGTGTGTGATTCCCCTGATGTGAAATGTCCACAACACGCCGAGCCCCAGGGAGGAGGCAGATTAGTGGCTGCCAGGGCCTGGGGGAGAGGGAATAGGGAGTGACTCACAGTGGGGACAGGGTGTCCTTTTGGGGTGATGGAATGTTCTAGAACTAGATAGTAGTGAAGGCAGTACAACACTGTGAATGCACTAAATCCCACTGGATTGTTTGCTTTAAAATGGCGAATTTTTTGTTACGTAAATTTCACCTCAATTTTTAAAAAAGGCTTATGTTCACAGAGGAAAAAAAATAAATAAAAAGGACATGGGAACGGCGGCGGCGGCGGGGCTCGGGCCACGGCTGAGGGAGAAGGGTTCCTCCCCACCTCTGCGCCGCACCCCCGCAGGCCGCGCCGGCCTTGCTCTCCAGCCCACCTGCAGAGCCCAAGGCCAAGCCCGGCCGCAGAGCCCCAGATGCAGGCTCTGACCCGCTGCTCCTTCCCCCAGGGCCACAGGTGAGGTGGTGGCTCCTCTGTCCTGGGTGGCAGCTCCACCCGGGCCCACCGTCCCCGTGGGAACACGCTCCGCCCCCCAAGCCAGCACTCTGGACGCAGGCGCCGTCTGCGCAGAGAAGCGCCACCAGCCACCGAGCACGGTCACCCGCTTGCTGTGTGAGGGCAGCCCGCGTCGAGGGGCCCCAGACGCCTGCCGCGCCCTCTGTAGCTTCCGGGGACCCTCGGCGTGTCCCGCAGGGTGGACAGGCTGAGCTGGCCGGGGCCCTGCCTCCCCGCCGAGGCCCCGCTGGGCCGGGGCTCCCCGTACTCACCAGGGACCGCTTGGCTTCGGGAAGGAACTGTCCGAACTCCGAGAGCAGGTCCTCCTGGCCCCGGAAGAGGTTGGCCACCTCGGTGAACACCTCCTCTTCGGACATGCCTCGGAACGGCCGGCCCTTCGTGTTCAGCTGCTCCTTCTGCCGAGGTTTGGGCAAGGGGAAATGGCTGGTTAGGCAAGGAAGGAGGGAGGCCCCCGGGCGGCCGCACGCTCAGGCAGCCCACCGCGGAGACAGAGGGAGCGACTCTCGGAGCAGAACCTGCTGGCGGAGCCCGAGACATCCTGTGTGCCTGCTCCCGGACCCCGCTGCCCAGCGCGGCCTGAGCCCCGGGCTGGGGACAAGGCCCGTGCCAGGAGCGTGGCGGGACACGAGGAAGGGCACCGAGAAGCATCTGTGAGCAGAGCAGCGGGACGGGGCGGGGGTGCCGGCTGGAATCGGCAGGCTGGGCAGGTGCAAGGTCACAGGCGACCCCGGCCCTCCCAAGGGCAAGGGGATCCCAGCAGCCGGCGCTGGGCCTTGAAGGGGAGGAAAGGGGGAAAGAACAAAGGGAAGGAACTTCCAGGCCCAGGGACCTGCTGGCCCAGTGTCACCAGACCCAAGGGAAACAATCTGATCCAGAGCTTAAGGCTACAAGAGGCCCAAAGGGGACCCAGGTGGGAGGGCAGGACCGGCCGGCACAACCGAAGGCGGCCGCTGAAAATCCGTCCCTGTCAACTTCCTACGTGAGAATGCGCGTCACGGTGCCAGAGGCAGCGGCCGGCCCGCAGGGTGTGTGGCCCAGCTCTCAGCATCCCCAGCCCAGGGCTACACCAGAGGTAGCAGCAAGGCCCGCAGGGTGCGTGGCCCAGCTCTCAGCGTCCCCAGCCCAGGGCTGCCCCAGAGGCAGCGGCGGGGTTCCGCAGGGTGCATGGCCCAGCTCTCAGCGTCCCCAGCCCAGGGCTGCACCAGAGGCAGCGGCGGGGTTCCGCAGGGTGCATGGCCCAGCTCTCAGCGTCCCCAGCCCAGGGCTGCCCCAGAGGCAGCGGCCGGGCCCGCAGGGTGCGTGGCCCAGCTCTCAGCGTCCCCAGCCCAGGGCTGCACCAGAGGCAGCGGCCGGGGCCCGAAGGGTGCGTGGCCCAGCTCTCAGCGTCCCCAGCCCAGGGCTGCAGCATGGGGCGGGTCACCCGCGGGCGGCTCCTCCCCGCCGGGCCGGCTGCAGCCTTCGGGAAGGGGAGCGAGTTTACGTCCCGGCCCCCGTAGCACCTGCACAGGAGGCGAGGGAAAGCCAACAACCATCCTTCCAGAAAGTCACTGGTGTTCTTGAAGGCCAAATAAAAAAATGAGCAAAGGCCGCTCCGTTCAGAGAGAAAGCAGAAACGATCCGCGTGCAGACGAAACGATGGCCAAGGCAGAGAACCGCGCCTGGCTGACCCGAGCCACGCGGGAGCCACGACAACACCCCGCACCCCTCCCACATCCACTCGCTCCCTCAGCGCCCCGCTGTGCTCGCAGCCACCCGTCCCTGCCCCACCTGACTTCGGACCACCTCCTCCCAGCCCCTCAGTGCCTCGTCAGTACTCGCGTGGCTCTCGGCCACGTAACATGCGTGCGGCAGCGCCGCCGTTCTGAGCGGGCACCTGTATTTTTCAGGTATCACTGGGGAAGTTTCTGGGTGCCGTGCTCTCACCCCGTTTTCCCATGAGCCCTGCGGTTCGACTGCGAGTTTGCAGAGGGAGGTCATTTTGGGGGCGCAGCTGCGTGGGGGCAGGACCGTGTCCGTGTGGGCACACGCAGGACATCCGCGCAAGGCCGTGCGATGGGTGGCAGCGCCCAGGGCTGACGCGCGGCAGGCCCTGTGCTCGAATCAGCTGCCTCAGTTAACTTCTTTGAACCCGGGCCTCACCTGGCTCCACCAGCTTCATGCCCATTTTATGGAGAAGAACCCCAAGGCTCGGGGAGGTGAAGTCAAGGGCCCCAGCGGAGGGGGGGGGGGGGGGGAGGCCCCGTGGAGATGGAACAGTTACGAGCGGTCAGACGGACCCTAGAGCCGCTTGGTTTGGCTCTAATGGTACCTCAGAAAACTCTCAACCAATGCTCTAAAATCGGGATAATGCAACAATTCAGATTTCTCACTTCTCTGCAAGAGATGGGCGGCCTGAGGTTGGAGTCGCCTAGGGGCCTGCTTAAAATGCAGGTGCCAGGTGGCCCCAGCGAAGGGCAGCCCCACGCACGGAGGCCCGGCCATCTGCGCGCTCAACCAACTGCCAGCGGTTTGGGTTGGGGGCACTGAACTGTCCCGTCCCCCCTCCCCCACGGTGCTCTCGCGGAAATGGTGCACGACACGAACACAAACTCGTGTCATGCTCAGACTGCTGCCCGGCACGTGTAGCGTGTCCAAACAGATCTGCGTGTTCAGACCCAGCGCTGCGGCAGCACACCGGCTGCGTTCTGTGCCCTTGGATAGATGAGTCTCTAACCCACTTGGGCTTCCCCTGCACCCGCCCCGGGACGGAGCCACTGCTCGGCTCTGACGATCCTCCTGGCTCTCATGCGAGGACCCACGAAGCCGGGGAGGGAGCCGCACACTCCAGTCACCAGCGTCACCCCTGCACCCGCTCCGATGCTCACAGCTGCCACTGCCACGGCTCATGTGCTTCGTGAAGCAAGAGTTTCAAGGCTGCACCAGCACCCCAAAAACGCCAGAGGCTGAGGACAACAGGGCCTGCGTGTGACACCCACACCGCGGGCGGCAAATAGTCCCCCAAAACGGCCTCGCCGAGGGCATAGGGAGCAGATGCCATCATCAGTCTGATCTTAAATGTTCTCTAAGCATGTATGCTAAAAAGAATCCTCCTTCTTCACTTGACATACTAAAGCTGTGCAGATTGTGCAGATTTCTCTTTTCATTTTTGAGACAGAGTCTCACTCTGTTGCCCAGGCTAGAATGCCAAGGCGTCAGCCTGGCTCACAGCAACCTCACAATCCTGGGCTCAAGTGATACTCCTGCATCAGCCTCCCAAGTAGCTGGGACTACAGGCGTGTGCCACCATGCCCGGCTCAGTTTTTTTTTACTTTCTGTAGAGACAAGGTCTTGCTATGTTGTGCAGGCTGGTCTCCAACTCCTGGGCTCAAGCAATCCTCCCACCTCAGCTTCCCAAAGTTGCTGGGATTACAGGCATGAGCCACTGCATCCGGCCAAATGTCATTTTTAACAGTGGGTTCTGCTGCTTAAAAAAACAGATGTGTGGGCCAGGTACAGTGGCTCACGCCTATAACCCTAGCACTTTGGGAGGCTGAAGCAGGAGGAGTCCTTGAAGCCAGGAATTCCAGACCAGCTTGAGCAAGAGTGAGACCCCATCTCTACAAAAACAAAAACACAGAAAAATTAACTAGGCATGGTGGCACATGCCTGTAGTCCCAGCTACTCGGGAGGCTGGGGCAGGAGGATCGCTTGAGCCCAGGAGATTGAGGTTGCTGTGAGCTAGGCTGACGCCACGGCACTCCAGCCTGGGCAACGGAGTGAGACCTTATCTCAAAAAAAAAAAAAAGAAAAAGAAAAGCAGCAAGGGAAACGCGGCGTGCAGGCGAGGAGGAGCCTGTACGAGGCGCAGACGCCCGTCACGGCCCGCGCCCGCTTCCCGCCCCCTGCGGGCCGCCCTGGCCCGGCGCCTGCTCCGCCCTGGCCCTTCCCACAGGCCGCTCCCGACACCGAGCGCCCACCCTTCCTCCGCGCCGACCGCCCGACGGCCTGACGTTCTGGCGAGACTCAGCCTGACAGGCCCCTCCCTGACCCACTTCTCCTCTGGCACCCAAGGCGCCTCCTGCCCCGGGCTGAGAACTGCGCGGCAGCGAGCACGCGTCTCTGCCGCCTCGGCCCTGGCACCGGGCCGCTGCGATGGCACAGCTAAGGGGCAGTCGCGTCGCCTCGACACCAACAAAGTCCCCTCGTAAAAGGACAACCGTTTTCTTAGGTTCTGCTTTTAAATCCCCCTGATGCTCATTCCCAGTGGCTCCTGGGTGCAGCTGTGCGCCAAGGGACGAGTCGGAATGAGAGCCGATCAGAACTCCGGCAGGGGTTTATGTCCCCAGCAACGCCGGCCACCGCGGCCGAAGGGCAGGCCGGCCCGTCTGCCGGCAGACGGAGGCCACGCAAGTGCGTCTCCTCCAGGCTTGCCTAGGAAGGAGACTCCGACGCACCTACCACGCAGGTGACCCGAGGACACTCTGCTACGTGAAACAGGCCAGTCTCGAAAGGACTGGCACTGTGCACTTCCGTTTGTGACAGGTCCCCGGAGTTGTTAAACTCAGAGAGACAGAGAGCAGAGCCGGGGCTGGCGGCCGGGGGGCCGAGTTTCAGTCTGACCAGACAGGGCGTTCTGGAGGGGGGGTGACAGCTGCACGACAATGTGAACGTACTCAATGCCACCAAACTGCACACTTCAATGTGGGTACAGTGGTGAATTTTATGTGTATTTCACTAGAGTAAAAAAAAAAAAGCAATGCCAAAAACAAAAAAACAAAAACACCAGCGATCGGGATCTTAAGGGTTTCATGCATTCAGACGAGAGAGTCCGGGTATCCCCAGTGCTGGCGCGGGGAGTGCCGCAGACACGCGGGAGGAAGGCGCCAGCCCTCACCTGGTAGGTGTGCAGTATCTCCAGGAAGGACCTGTAGATCTCCGGGTGGTCCAGGAAGCGCGTCTTGATCTTGTTCACGTAGCTGATGGCGTTGTTGAACTCCACCGAGTCCGACTCCAGGGGCCCCTGGGGCTTGTCTTCCTTGTACGGCAGCTGCTGCTTGAAGTCCTCAGCGCAGTCGCCGTGGCTGTGCGAATTCTCCTGGCAACAACGCGACAGTGAGCGCACGCTGGGAACAGACTGTGAGAAACACCAGGCCCGGCCGCTGTCCGTGCGAGAGCAGACGGCGCCGGCCTGGAGCCGGGTTTCACCGGACACCAAGGGAAGGTAGGATGAAGACAGGGAAAGCCAGCGCCCATGGGACAATCCAGGAGAGGGTAGTGGCGGTGGCTTGGGCATGCATGGTAGAGATGAGGTGGTGTGAAAGGGTCAGATTCTGGAGAGACTTTGAAAGTAGGGGCAACAGGACTTCCTGACAGACTGAATGTGGAATGTGACTGAATGTGGCCGCTGCGTGGCCACGTCCGGCCAGAGAGGGAAACGCCTCCCACGCCACGACGAGCCACTCCGTGTGGCCCACGCCTCCGCCTGAGCATCCACACGCAGCCCCCACCTGGATATTCCAAGGAGGCCCCGATGGCACCTGTCACGCAAGGAGCAGCCCCCGACCCCCTCCCGGGCCTCGATCACCGCAGCAGGGCCACCAGCTGCACCCAGGGAGTCGGGCATTGGGAAGCACCCCTGCCTCTCAACTCCTCACTGACTCCTCTCGCCCCCCATCACTACCCAGATCACCCGGGACCCCTCCCCGGCCTCCCAGGCGTCTCCTGACACCTCACGCCATTCCCAGCACAGCAGCAGAGCTGCCTTCCAGAACCCTCCGCCAGCCCCCCGGGGGGCCTGGCTCTCTCCCCTACCTTCTCTCCTCCATTGCCTGGCCCCACCGGTCTCCTGGCTGCTCCCTCCGCCCACCTGCTCCCAGCCCAGGCCCCCAAGCCCCACCACCACTCCAGACCCCGCCCCCGCACGCCGGGCCCTGGCCTGCTCCGGCCCCTCTCTGCCCCGACGCTGCCCCGATGCTGCCTGCGGGCCACGGCACCAAAGCCCCTCACAGTCGGCGCCTGCCCATCTGCTTCTCGCTGCAGTCCCCACTCGGCCACACAGGCCCTAGAGCCGGCTCTCTGAACAAACCCAGGCCCTCCCTTGGAAGAAGGGGTCACCCACCGCCTGCTCCGTGAGCAAATAAGACACAAACACAAGAACGGACTTGTCGGGAGGTGCCGGGGCCTCCGCAGAGCACAGCGCGGTGGTCCCCTTTGCAAGCGCTGCGGCCACGTAGGTCAGGAGCTGCACCTCGAGGGCTTCCCTCCGTCTCTGTGCAAGCCGCCCTTGTCCCCCAGGAGACCCGGTCTGCCCCGAAGGGGACCTGGGAGCCGAGCACCACTGCTTCCCACGGACGTCCACTTCTGGGTCTTGTGCCGCTGCCCCAGCGACATTCTGGAAGGCAGGTACGGTCAAGAGCACGACAGGACTTCATCTCAGTCACTTCTCTTCCTAGCTGTTGTGCTTCCGTCAAACATACTAACACAAGGCAGGGTGGCGTAAGAATGGCACGGGCTTGGGACTGGGGGGCTCTCTGCAGAGGTGACGCTGTGACTGGGCCCAAACTACCAGACCCAAAATGACGGTGGCCCAGGAGGCTGAGGTCCCAGCAAGAGTACGTTCTCTCCTCCCGCGGCCCAGGAGGCTGAGGTCCCAGCAAGAGCACGCTCTCTCCTCCTGCCTCCCGGGTCCTGCTGGCCATACATGCTGGGCCGTGTCTGTCTCCCCTTTACAATCGCATCCTCAACTAAGGGGGCTCCACCCTCTAGGGACACCTGGCAATACTGGCAGATATTGAAATACTAAAATATTGTCACATCCGGGGGAGGGGTGCTGCTGGCATCTGGTGGGCAGAGCGGGGGACCCTGCCTGACAGCCTACGGCGCCCGGGACGGCCCCCACCAGAAAGAACGTCCCAGCCCCCTAGCGGCAGCAGCGCTGAGGCTGAGACCCTCCGCGCCACAGGGTCCACAGGCCTGGGACTCTCTCATTCACCTTCCTCCGCGCCTGACAGCCACCGCGTCTTTGCCTGTCGTTGGCGGGCGTCAGGGTGAAATAAAAAATGGGGAAAAAAAACAAACAAAAAACAAAAAGGCTCTCCTTTAAAACAGTGAAGCCAGAAAACCGACAGGAAAAGAACATCACCAGGGCATTTGCGCGAGGAGCCCGGAGAGGTTTTCAGGCTACCGTGGCCTCTCCGAGGACTCCAGGAAGCCGACAGGCCATCTAGTGTCTCCCGTGCGCCTGCCCCGAGGCCGCACGGGTACCGGCCCCGACTGCTGGGGAGCAGGGCTGGAAACCCGGCGGGTCCCTCGGCACCCACCGAAGCCGAATGGCCTTGGGGCCCAAAGGGAACGGCCTCCCCGACAGCGGGCGGAGGCCCGACACACACATGGCTGCTTCCAGGCAGCAGCGAAACCGTGAGGCCCCGTCCCCCGAGTAGCTACTGAGTGGGAGTTCTTGCCAAGCCTTTCTCCAAGCCACCCAAGCCACCCAGGGGAGACAAGACTGCCAGCCGTCCGCTGTGCCGGGAACAGCAGGGACGCCGCGGCTACTTGAAGGAAGCGCCGGCCCCGAGTCCAGCCCGTGTGGCTCCTGTCAAGCTCCAGCCCTGACAGCCCAGCCCCTCCCACGGCCGGGGCGGCGGCGGAAAGGCCATTTCCACTCGCAGGGGTCACGATTCACACCTCCCGGCTTCACACCTCCCGGCTCCGGCGCTTTCTGAGTGAGTGGCGGCGCCGAGACCCTGCGAAGCGCTTGCTTCCCCCGAGGCCTCGAGCGCCCCAGAGCTCAATCTCTCCAGGCTTTCCGGTCTGGCCGGGCCCTGCCTCTGGACCCTGCGGCTCCACTTGCGAACGTGAAACGGAACCTCTCGGGAACCCAGCGGCCACGCACTTCCAAGTTCCCTTTTAAAACCGAGCCGGCTTTAAGGAGGCCACGCGCTGCCGGCAGAGCTCGCCTTACGCAGAGAAGCAGCGGCTTCTACGCACCAGCCCCTCTCAGGAGGGCCGTCACTGCCACGCTGCCTTCGCTGTTCTCTGTCCAAATCCCGGCTCCCCGGTTGACCTGACGCTCTGCGATGTCCCATCAAAGGAGAGACCTACGAGCGCTTCCGGCCACAGATGTTTACGTCCCTGCCCAAACCGTCAAGCTGGGGCTGGAGGAGGCTCGTAACACAGGCAACTTTGCCCCCAGGAGACACCTGGCGATGTCTGGGGCTGCTTTTGGCTGTCACAATCGGGTGACGGGCGGTGGGGGGGAGGCCAGGGATGCTGCCAAACATCCCACGACACACCAGGCAGCCCCCAACAGCGAAGAAGTGTGCCCTAAACGGCAACGGTGCTGAGGTGGAGAAAAAGACAACGGTCATCTTATAAAAGCAAAGCTCGAGTGCTCGAGTAAGCTGTCTTTGTCTCAGAGGCTCAGGAGAGCACACGCGAGAGGCTGCAGAAACGGACGGGGTGTTAACCTATCACCTGAGAAAGAAAGAACCAGAGCCACGCGCCTCAGCCGAGCCAAGGGCCCTGTCAACAATTAAACCGAGCACAGAATGTACACAGCAGAAACGGCCCCTCGCACACGCATCTCAACCACTTCATTGTCTCGCTGGCGGTGCTGAGAGCTCTCAGACGCAGACCAGCACCCGCCCGACTACGAGGGTGGGCCTGCCTGTCCACTCCCCGGGGCGCCGCAAGCCGAGACCTCGGCAACCGCTGATGTGGTTATTCTGACTTATCGTAAAATTCTGTGTCAGGAGGATGCCTCCCGACATCCACTCTTGCCTCAAACCTTCCAAACAGATCAATCGGGGAGGCAGAGGCTGCCTGTGTCGGCGTTTCGATCTGCTCTGATCTGTGCTAGATGCGATAAGCATGTCTAGGAAAAGAATGGATCGTAAGTGGCTTTCCAGCAACGACAGGAAGGAGGCACGGGGCCGACCTGGGTCGCAGGGTGTGCTGCGTTAAGGCAAGATGGCCGGCACGGCGGCAGCAGCTTACCTGGCTTGTCAGAGGTGACTGTATGTTTAACTTGCCATTCTTGGGAATGTCTATTCTGTATCCAAGCGGAAGGAAAGCGTTGAACCCGACGATGAGGTCAGGGTGCTCGTGAAAGAGCTGTGAGACCCGCCTGATGACTCCAGGAGTATCAATGCTAGAAGAAAGAGGAACGCAAGTGCGCAAAAGGGTCTCAGATAGCAAATTAAAAACAAAATCCATTCCTGACTCCCCTGATCCTGCCACACGACGAGCCGTTCAACTGACGACAAAACAACCTAACTGTGACTCTCGCGACAGCATCTGCAGACCATGATCTATTTCCAGAGCGGCTAGGCCTCGGCTCCTGCGCCCTCCCGAAGAGAACCAGAGAATGTTTACGCAGCACAACTCCCTGAAACACTCCCAGCACGTGCACACGCGCTCAGTTCTGAAAATGTCAGGAGAGCCGAATGCAAGGCCGGGACTCCCGGATGTGGCAGGAGGCCAAAGCCCTCTAAGTGATGTGATAAACTGCCTCATTTCGTATGATTCAGGGATGACTATGACCCAGGTTTTGATCTGAGCAACCGATTGCAAAGCATAAACACCAAAGGCCCTTCAAGTGCAGCAAATGCGTAAGAACGTGAGAGATGGGGGTCTCCCTCCTGGCTGCGCTCAGGGCCCAGGCCTTAGTCCGCCCTGCACCGGTGGAAGGAAATCGGGCTGGGCCCACCAAGATCCCTAAGAGGGAGCAGCAGCAGGGTGGGTGTGTGACCCTCGAAAGTCTGAGAGTCAAAGGGTCTGAGTTCTAGTCTCACTTCTGCCACGAAGGTGGGTTTCCTTCCATCTCTAACCCTTCTGATTCTGTGTCTACAAATGCAGCTCCTGTGTTTTAAATGCTCTGTGAGTGCCAGGTCCCTTACTAAGCATTTTATGCACCTCACTTCCAAGCAGGCCTGAGACCAGGGTGAGCCGAGCAGAGCATCTCGGGGACAGGATTTAAGGGAGAGAGGGTGCCAAAAAACTCAATCATCAAGACAAATAACATTGTAATGCAGTGCTCGGAAAAAGAAAAAAAAAAAAAAAAACAAAACGAGTCCCCTCCAAATCTTCCACGAAGATGACTTATTTAAAAATCAACATTTCAAATCGAGGCAGGACCTGGCTCTGCGCACTCGCCTCCCCTCTGCCTCCCCCACCCCTGCCCTCCTTCCAGGAATCCCCAGGACAGCTCACCAAGGTGGAGACTATCCATTCCCATTTTGGGGTTTTTGTGTTGGTTTTTTTTTTTTTTTTTTTTTAGGAGAAGGAGCTGAGGCTCTGAGACAACCCGCACAAGGTCACCCGGCTGGGGGAGGAGGGCACAGCCGGACTGGGGGAGCCCACCCAGCTCGGCCCGATCCCGGCCCAGGCGGGCCCCCCGGGGAGCGGAGGGGCCCCGCGGGTACCTCTGGCTTTTGAACTCCTTCATGATCTCCAGGAAGCCGTTGTAGGTGGCAGGGTCGCTGCCAAAGCGGATCTTCACCTGGTCCAGGTAGGTGAGGGCGTCCTCCACCTGCGAGGAGGGGGAGGGTCCCAGTGGGCCGGGGGGCGCTGGAGGAGGGGCCGGGCGGGGCGGCGGGGGTCCCCAGCGGGGAGGGGGCCGGGCCGGGCCTCCGGGGGGCCGAGGGGAGGCCGAGGGGAGGCCGGGGGGTCCCGGGCCGCGCAGAGGGGAGGCCGAGGCGGAGGCGGGGCCGGGCGGGGCCCGGGTGAGGGGCGCCCGCCTGCGGGGTCCAGAGGGCCCCGTCCCCGCGGGAGGGCGGGGAGGCCACTCACGTGCACCGGCAGCTTCTCGTGGCCCGCGGAGCCCGAGCGACCCCAGCGGGCGCCGCTCAGCCCCCGGCCCGCGGGGCCGCCGCCGCCGCCGCCAGCGTGCGCCATGTTGGAAGTCAGAGCCGCGGCCCGCCCCGCCCCCGCCCCGGGGCCCAGCACGCATGCGCGGGGGCCGCCCCGGTGGGCGGGTCCCGGTGACGTCAGCGGGCGGGGCGTGGCTCCCTGAGAGACTCCTTAGGTCCCCAATTGGAATCCTAACCAGAGATTGATCCAGCAAGCGGGTGCTGGGCCTGGCAGAACCCGCCGCCTGCTTGCGTCCGGCCCCCTCAGGCTCAGAGTGATTTTTACATGTTTGCGTGGTTGGGGGGAAATATTCCGAAAGACAGGAACATTCGGTGACGTGTGAAAATTCTATGGAATTCACATTTCAGCGTTCCTAAATAAAGTTTTATTGGCACGCAGACACGCCCATTCATTCACCTGGCTGCTCTTGCTCCACGGAGGCAGAGTGAGTGGCTGTGAAAGATCCAAAGACCAGCAGAGCCTGATGTATTTGCCATCTGGCCTTTTGTGGGATAAGTCTACACGTCTCCGCTTTGAGGAGTTTGTGCGACCATGGGAGTGTGTGCACACAGCACCCTAATACAGGCCCCTGCAGGGTGATTTTTCTGCTAAATGGACTTTGACTTAGTCCCACTCCTCCGGGCTCTACTTCCCTAGCTTTGACACCATTACTTCCCGACTGGACCAATTCAGGAGCCTGGTACTTCCAAGAACTCACATCAATCCACCACTGCCCCCAAACCTCCACGGGGGCCATCCTGTTTCTTAGGAGATGAACTCTAAGCACCTACATTGCAGCCCGTCAGACTTTGCCCTTCTGAACCTTTTCGTGCAAGATTTCCTACGCAAGCGGACTGCCCTGTATTCATGCATAACCTCCTGCTGCATTGCCTGACCAGGCTGGTGGCTTCCTGGCCCCAAGCACGTATGTGAAAAGGTCCAGGAAAGTTGAGAGTAAATTAGCATCGAGGGCATCCTTTACCAGGCACCATGCAAGGCGCTGGGAATAGAATGATAAAAACTAACATGAACTCGGAACTCAGAACTTTCAGTCTTTCTGGGGATAGACAAACAGGAATCAATTAATCACACAAATGTAAAGTTTCAAGTGTAACATATACTTGGAAGGGAAGGTATAAATGTAACAGTTACTAAATCCCTGTTACTGTGGCTGTGTAACAAACCACCCTAAGATTCAGTAGCTTCAGATGATTGCAACAACATTTATTTCACTCTCCAATCTGCAACTGGGGCAGGCTTGGCAGAAATCGCTTATCCCTGGTGGCTTTGGTGTCATCGGGGGTGACTCATAAGGCTGGGGACTGGAATTGTTTGAACGTTTTGTTCATGCACACGCCTGTCATCTGCTCCTGGCTATAGGCTGAGACCCTTCCTGGAGCTGTTGCCCGGAACACGTACATGTGGCCCCCTCCCCACCCACCGGGCACCCTGGGCTTCCTCACAGCATGGCTGCCAGGTTCCAAGAGCAATCGCCCTGAGAGTGAGTTAGCCAGGTGAAAATCATATTGCCCTTTTTGTTTGTTTGTTTGTCTGTCTACAGAGATGGGGGTCTCATTGTCCTGCCCAGGTCAGCCTTGAACTCCTGGACTCAAGCAATGCTCCCACCTCAGCCTTCCAAGGAGCTGGGACTACAGACGCCTACCACTGTACACGGTTCCCATATTACTTCTTCTGACCCAGCCTCGGAAGTCACACAGAATCATTTCCATTGCTTTCTGTCCATAAAGGCTATTAGGAAGTCCCTCCCAAATTCAAGAGGAGGGCAGCCTGGGGAGTGGCCAGGTTCCGGAATAGCCTGTGGGACAGGAAATATGCCATGCCTATTCTTGGAAAATATCCCCTGCCACCTAGGGGACTTAACCCAGTCTAGGAGGGGACGAAGGAGGCTTCCCAGAGGAGGTGACATTCTAGCTGAGGTCTGAAGTTTGTATAGGTGTTCGCCACAGGAAAATTCATAAACAGCTGTGACTGTTTACAGAAGGAGGGAGCATGGCACATTTGAAGAACTTTAAGAGAGAAAAAAGAGAGAGACTAGTTTCCCAGACTGCAGAGAGGGAAGGAAAGGAAGAAAGTGTCCTTATTCAATAAATGGTGATAAAGAAAAAATAAAAAAAAATTAAAAAGAAAGGAAGAGAGTGCAGGATAATCATGAGCAACCAGGCGGGGCAGACCCTGCATCAGTGCTGGTGGGGACAGCGCTGGGGTTTTGAGTCAAGAAGCTGCAGAATCAGGTTTGCATTTGAAAGTGATCACTCAGGCTGCTCTGCTGGGACCGGTTGGAGGGGACCCAGGGAAGGTGTAGGGAGGCGGTTTCATCATTTAGGCAAAGGACAATGGAGGCTTAGACCTGGATGGGAGCAGTAGAGAGAAGACAGTGGAAGGGAGAGGTATTTGGAAGGCAAAAACATCGAGCATTCGTGGCTCCCAGCCCAGAAAGGGACATTCCTGTACGGATAGAGCGAAGGCAACCTGAACCCTTTGTGGCCACCAGATATCTGGGCAGCCCATTTCACACCAAAGCCTCCTGTTGGTCACTGTCTTTGAGGGCCAACAGGATTGTCACGCAATCCCCCCTTCCCCCACGGAGTGTGGATTCTATTCAAATTTTAAGGATCACTTTCAGTTTTTTCTCAAATAGTCAGATGAAACCTTCACTCGTTTGGGGAACAGCCAACCTGGGGCATGTGTGTGCACATGTGAGCATGTGTGTACATGCGTGTGTGTACACATGCGAGCATTATGTACATGTGTGCACACGTGTGCATGTTCATCACGAGGAAAATAATACACATATATTTTTAAATTCTTTCTTTATTTATTTGTCTTGTTGTTGTTGTTGTGTTAAAGACAGGGTCTCACTTTGTTGCCCAGACTGGAAATTCTTATTTTTATCAAACATAAAAAGTTGCCATGGGACCCGGGACTATGATGGAAGTCAATCCTGTGATTAGGCTACCTGAGCTGGCAAAGGGGAGGGGATTTTGCAGGTATATTTAAGACACTAAATGAGTTGGTTTTGAGTTAATCAGAGGGGAGATTTTTCTCGGTGAGCCTGACTTAATCAGGGACATCATTTAAAAGATAATTTGAGTCAGGTACTGGTATCTGTAGTCCCAGCTACTTGGGAGGCCGAGGCAGGAGGATCGCTTGAGCCCAGGAATTCAAGACCAGCTTAGGCAATGTAGCAAGACCCTGTCTCTAAAAAAAAAAAAAAAAAAAAAACAGTCTGAGGTTAGCAACTGGAAGTGGCAGAGAGGTGCAACCTTCCTAGCCTCGAAAGAGGAACTAGCTGTTTTCAAAACCTGCCCAGGGAGAGCGCCACTGAGGTCCACACTCCTCCTGCCTGGAGGAGCTCAATTCTGCCGACAGTCAGACAATCTGTATGAGCCCGGATGACGTCTCGGGGTGTCTCGGTGAGAACCCAATCCGCTGACACCTTGTGAGGCCCCGAACCAAGAATCGAGTTCCAACATACTCAAGACTCCCGATCCACAGAAATTACAATATAATAAGTGGATGTTATTTTAAGAAGCTCAATTTGTGTCAATTTGTTTTGCAGCAATAGAGAATGAACACAGCTATGACGTAGCCTTGTGAAAAAATGCCTCCCCTGTGATAAGGACATGTCAATGTGGGTTCGTCCCCTGTGACAGCCGTACCACTCTGGTGAGGGGTGTTGGTGACGGGGGAGGATGCGCATTTGTGGGGGCGGGGGCAGTATGGGAAACATCTGTACCTTCCACTCAATTTCGATATGAAGCTGATACTCCTCAAAACATAAAATGAAATTTAAGCTAGGTGTGGTGGCATGCACCTGTAATCCCAGCTACTTGGAACACTGAGGTATGAGGGTCATGTAAGCCCAGGAGTTCAAGGCCAGCCTGGGCAACATGGCAAGACCCCATGTCTTAAAAACAAAAACAACAACAACAAAAAAAAACTAAAATCTATTTTTAAAAATGTTTACCCTAAATCTAATCAAGCCTTAAGGTCAAGGGTTGGCACAATTTTTTGGTAAAGGGACAGATCGTAAATATTTTTGGCTTTGGGGCCACACATTCTCTGTCGCAATGACTCAATCCTGCTGTTGTAGCAGGGATGCAGTTGCAGGCAATACCTAAATAAACAAGCACGGCTGTGTTCCAATAAAACTTTATTTACAAAAATAGGCCAGGCATGGTGGCACATGCCTATAATCCCAGCACTATAGGAGGCCAAGGGGGGAAAGATTCCTTGAGACCAGGAGTTCAACACCAGCCTGGGCAACAGGGGACAAGATCCCCTGTCTCTAAAAAAATTTTTTAAATTAGCCAGGTGTGGTAGCCTGCACCTGTAGTCCCAGCTACTCAGGAGGCTGAGGCAGGAGGATCACTTGAGCCCAGGAGTTTGAGGCTGCAATTAGCAATGATTGTGCCACTGCTCCCCAACCTTGGTGACAATATGAGACCCTGTCTCCAAAAAGAAAAAAAAAAAAGGTGGCAGAACTGCAGGCCGTAGATTGTCGACCCCTGTTCTAGACTATGTGAGGAGGGGAGGCAAGTCCCCAAAGTGCAGGGTCAGATCCCAACTTTGTATAAAATGTTGATACTTTCTTCATCATTCATTTTTAAATTCATTTGATTTTTTTAAAAAAAACCTATAATAAATTTCTAATAAATAGAAAATGTTCATTCGGTTGTCCTTACATTGCAACTTTGCTATAGGTCTGAACATTTTCATAATGGAAAAAGTTGAGATAAGGAGATAATTACAAAGCTTCTAGAATTATTTTTCTTTTTTTAGAGATGGGGGGTCTCGCTATATTGTCCAGGCTGATCTCAAACTCCTGGCCTCGAACAATACTCCCATAACCTCAGCCTCCTAAGCAGTCCCAAAGGACTACAGATTCGAGCCACCATGCATGCCCAGCAAGAGTCTCTAGGATTTAACATAAATCCATTCTTGCTGGAGCTAGATGGGCTGTGTATTTCAGTTGCCTTGGGACACTTCAGTTGATTTCTGTTGTCCAGGAGTAATTGTTAAAAATGTTCTAGTTTGGCCGGGCGCTGTGGCTCACGCCTGTAATCCTAGCTCTTGGGAGGCCGAGGCGGGCGGATTGCTCAAGGTCAGGAGTTCAATACCAGCCTGAGCAAGAGCGAGACCCCGTCTCTACTATAAATAGAAAGAAATTAATTGGCCAACTGATATATATATAAAAAAAAATTAGCCGGGCATGGTGGCGCATGCCTGTAGTCCCAGCTACTCAGGAGGCTGAGGCAGGAGGATCGCTTGAGCCCAGGAGTTTGAGGTTGCTGTGAGCTAGGCTGACGCCATGGCACTCACTCTAGCCTGGACAACAAAGTGAGACTCTGTCTCAAAAAAAAAAAAAAAAATGTTCTAGTTTGGATGACACGTTATGTGGTTATGTTTAGCTACAAGAGTGTAAGGTGGGGATTGAATTAACCACTTTCTCATCCTGGCTGTGTGGTGCGTGGCTGGGAGACCTTAGGCAAAGCAATCCCCCTTAAAGCACAGTGGTTGTCAAACGTTCAGAGCAAGCACACTCTTTCTCAAATGAAAACTCACTGCGAAACCCCCCAGTGTAAGAAATAATTTGGAGTAGCATTTTATTAGCAAAAATTTTCTTTCCAATGTTCAAATTAGTATGTACATACCAAGCAGTTGATTCTCACTGAGGCTGTTCAGATGGACACAGACATTTTAAACCAGAAATTATAGATGAAATTGTTCCTCTGTCTCTCCGCATCCACTTTGTTTCTGCTTTGGGTAAATCTCTGACTCACCAAGAAGTTGGGGAAAAGAGTAGCTTTTTTACTTTTCTTTCTTTCCTTCTTTCTTTCTTTCTTTCTTTCTTTCTTTCTTTCTTTCTTCTTTCTTTCTTTTCTTTCTTTCTTCTTTCTTTCTTTCTTTTTAGAGACAGAGTCTTGCTATGTCACTGAGGCTAGAGTACAGTGGCAGCATCATAGCTCACTGTAAATTGAACTCCTGGGCTCAAACGATCCTCATGCCTCAGCCTCTGAAGTAGCTGGGGCTACAGGCATGTGCCTCCTGCCCAGGCTGGTCTTGAACTCCTGACCTCAAGAAATCCTCCTCCATTAGCCTCCCAGAGTGTTGGGATTATAGGTGTGAGCCACCACACCCAGCCAATTAGGTATTTCATTCAAGGGCTCTCTTCACAACCTAAGCGGCCTCTTAAATGGAGATGGCAGAAGAATCCTAAATAAGTCATCTCCAACACCTTAATACCAGCTTCCAATGCATCTGAGCATGCACTTTAAAATTACAGTTTAAAATATTTTTTAATGGAATTTAATGCTCATGTTAGCAGAACTGCCAAAGCCCGCCTTGGAACCCTGGTTTGGGAAGCGAATGAATGAGCTAGTCAGTAGGGTCTCATTGAGCTCAAAAGCCTCTGTTTCTAAGGGTGCTTTTCCTGCAACTCTGTCTGGAATTCCACAAAGGGGAGAAGGAACAGCACCTTGAAGGTTTGGACTCTCCTATCGTTATAGCAAAAGCCCCGGAAGCTAGTGGGAATTTTAGAAAGCCGTGGGCAAAGAAAAAAAAGGTCCATTTACATGGAATGAAAACAGTTCGACTGTTGAACTTGCACAAGGCAGATGGTTAAAAAGTGAAGCAGAGATATGTCAGCAGCTCTTTCTGTCGACTTCTAAGAGCTTCCAGTTTTTAAGATTAAAAAAGCATCTTTGTCCTGAAAGTTTGGAAGTCAGGGAAGAGGGATGGGAGAACTATAACATGGTTATTGTTTTAATGCCAACTTGGATCATGAAGTCAGCTCCTAAACCAAAGGCACGAAGGCCAAACACACCTATAGATATAAATTTGAGCCAACTGCCCACTTTAAAACATGGGAATGTTTTTGCCTGAAAGTCTGCATTTCTGGCTTTGCTTATGACAACAGGAAGATCTGACAATGAGCTTGTTTTGTCACATTGATTCTGGGCTACTGTCAGGGTGCCTGTGCCCACCCTAGACATGACCTGTGCCCTCCATGTGTCCAGAGCCTCCATCCCTTCCTGCTGCTCACCTAGGTGCATGGAAATAGATGGCTCCAGATGGTTCACTAGCCTCGGGGAGCATTTGAGGGTGCCACCTGTGGAATAGACAGTCATGCTTCCGAGACTAAAATTAGAATACGGTGGTCCAACAAGGCTTGGGACAAAAGGCTCCTGGCTCTTAGAGCTCTTGCACCCTGGGCCTGTGACCCGGAGCAAATCCCAGCTACCTCTGCAAGGCTCCGTTTCAGCATCTGTAAAATGGATGCGGAAACTCCTGCCCTCCCCAAAGGATGGGCTGTGGTGACGATCAGATGACGACACCAGGTGCTCTATAGACTGATCCTCATCAGTGGTTTGGTCTGTCTCACACTCATCCATCCCCCCTTTACCTGGTACCAGCGCCCCAGTTTGCCTCCCAGAATATTCTCTTCCATTCTCAGCCTACATGACTGGGTGGTGTCATCTCCAACCTCAGCCCCATTGGTGGGCATTGGATCCATCCAGCCAATCAGAGTGCTACATGATCCCAGAGATAATCACTTGTTCCGATTATGAACCAACTGGGACCAATAGAGTTGAGGCCAGGACTTTGGTTCAAACTGTGGGAAAGGGAAGCCCTCTTTTCTATTGAACTTGGAGAAAGCAGCATGTTGGCCACCATGTTGATAACCTGGGGGTGGAAGATCTGAGACTAAAACCAACAATGAGGAAAGAAGAATAGAAAGATGGGAAGAGATGATGTCTGAGTCAAACAATCTGAGGCCTTGGGTCCAGGTATACACCAGGAAATACATTCTCTTTGCTTCAACCAGATTAAATGAGACTAACTCATTGGAGCCCCATGCCCCCACAGAGGGTTTCTACACAATCAGGCAGACTTGTGAGCGTTTGTTTGATTTGGATTCATTTCCCTGGGCACTTTCTGATCCCAACTCCTGGGGTGCTCCTGCAGCTGCAGCCAGCTCTTCTCTCTGCCTGGATTTGACCATCCACACTGCCTTCTTGAAGTTTTTGAGAGGGTCTTGCTGCGAGGCTCTTGATGAAGGGCACTGGAAACGCTCTCGGATGAGATAACCATGTCTGGTGGGGGCAATGAAGCCATTGGAGGTTGGAATGATTCTGTTTACCACAGCATGGACAAACTGGACAGCCAGCAGGGTGCCTGTGGGGGTGAAGAGCAAGGCACAAATGAGAAAACTGGGGTGCATAGGTCCAATCCTACACATTCTAGAGTTGGCTGCACAGGGTCAAATTTTTGCTCTACTCCTGACTAACTTAGGCGTGACATTTAGAGGGACTCTTAGAGTCCTTCTTGCTTTATCTGCAAAATGAGAATGATAACAGAACCTACATCCCCAGGGGAATTTTGAAGATTTAAATACATCATACTTCTAAGGTTCTAAGTATAGAATTTTGACCCACAGTGAGCTCAGTAAATATTATTGTTGGAGGGAGAAGAAAGAGGTTGTTAACCTTCCCAGGATGAGCTTTTAAGGCCACAATCCGCAGCCCTCACCTACTGAGCTATATGTGACTTTTTTTTACCAGATATCTTTACTACAATATATCAGACTACAATGTATTCAACCACAATGTATTAGATTAATGTAATAGATTATAATGTATCAGATTACAATGTATTAGGCTCTACCTGATATTCCTTAGCTACTAACTTGCTTTGTGACCTTGAAAAAGTCTACTTCTCCATTTGTCAAAAGAAGATAGCAATGATACTTATCCCCTGCCAGGGTCATCAGGGTTCAAAGAGGTAATATATGATGAGAGTCTTCTCTACAGGAGACAGTGCAAGAAAGTGACAAAGGTGAGCACTGGAATCAGGCAGATGAGCTTCAAACCTTAGCCTACCTTGGACAAGTCACCCAGCCTCTCAGAGCCTCAATTTTTGCTCTGTAAAATAGGGATGACTGTTGAATTAAATGATTCAGGGATTATACCCAGTATACAGTATAACTCTTGCTTATATGAACTTGATATAATATTGAACAGACCAAGCATCAAGGGGGGTTTTCAAAGTGGTTGGTCTTAAAACAGGCTGCCCCTAACATTTATAGGGCCTGGGGCAAGAGATCCACATCTTATAAGATAAAATATGGAAATGCTGCAAATCTAGTAAATAAACTATTAAGTAAAATGCTCTCTATCCTCCTACATTGATGAAGATATCTTCAGAACCACCTGGGAGGCTGGGATTGGATTGAGAATTCTTGGGCTCTTAAGAGTTTAGTATTGGAGTGTAGTGATGTGGGAGAGGCAGTACCTGCTGTTTGTGATTTGCCCCCCTTCTCTTCCCACTTCCCAGTTTTATCCCACATGGTAGGGCCCTCATAGATATAGATATGTGAGGCCCTCACATATATAGGGCCTCTACTCCAGCTCAGACATCTGAACTCTACCCACACCACCCCATGGCTACCTCCTGAGCCTAGGATACACACACCAGCGGCACTGTCTACACTCAGAAGGATGACCCTACGGAAGAAGCCTGTGTGTGCCCTAAAGAGGGCTCGAGGCTATGTGGGGAGGGTATTGTGGAGTTCCACAGCATGGATCTAGAAGAGAGGTTGTGAGCCCATCCTCTTGGCTTGAAGACACCTCCCTAAGCTGAGGAACCCAGCTAGATGAGGACATAACAGGGCATTCTAATACCCAGGACTGAGGACAGAGCCTTCTCTCTCCAGATCAAACCTCAGTCTTGCCCTAAAAGCAAAACAACTCACCATCTGACACACTCCAGACAATTATGGAACGATCCTTTAAGCCTGCAAACACGTACTTGTCATCCTTGGAGAAGCAAGCGCATTGGACCCCTCTGCAGTAAGAGCTCTGTTGAAAACAGACAGTGTATCCTGATTACAGACTGAAAGACACCCAGGAGATCAGCTTCAAGGAGCCAGGCTATTTTTTTTTTTTTTTGACAGAGTCTCACTGTTGCCCCTGGTAGAGTATAGTGGCATCACGGTAGCCCACTGCAACCTCAAACTCCTGGGTTCAAACAATCCTTCTGCCTCAGCCTCCCGAGTAGCTGGGACTACAGGCAAACACCACCACGCCCAGCTAATTTTTCTATTTTTTCATAGAGACAGGATCTCACTCTTGCTCAGGCTGGTCTCAGACTCCTGACCTCAAATGATCCTCCTGCCTTGGGCTCCCAGAGTGCTAGGATTGCAGGCGTGAGCCATCCCACAGAATCAAGTGAAAACCTGGAGAGATGGGTAGCACAGTATTCCCAGGAGCAAGGCACACCTCCATGGAGACTGGATTGAAAGGTTTGAGACAGTTTGCACTGGGGAGTGGGAATTATAGGATTCAAGTTCTTAAATGACCTTGGTTACACAAACATTAGAAATGATTGTATTTAATTAAAAGCTATGTGCTTAAATAAATAAATAAGGCCGGGGGCACGGTGGCTCACGCCTGTAATCCCAGCACTCTGGGAGGCCGAGGCGGGCGGATCGCTCAAGGTCAGGAGTTCGAAACCAGCCTGAGCAAGAGCGAGACCCCCGTTTTTACTAAAAAAAAAAAAAAAATAGAAAGAGATTAATTGGCCAACTGAAAATATATAGAAAAAAATGAGCCGGGCATGGTGGCACACGCCTGTAGTCCCAGCTACTCGGGAGGCTGAGGCAGGAGGATCGCTTGAGCCCAGGAGTCTGAGGTTGCTCTGAGCGACGCTGACGCCACCCGCACTCTTAGCCCGGGCAACAGAGCGAGGCTCTGTCTAAAAAAACAAATAAGTAGACAGATGAAGGAAAGCCAGCGGGACGGGGTGTGGCGGGCCACGCACCGTGTAGCTCATCTCGAATTTCCACCTGCACACCTGCAGGTCCCAGAGACACAGCACGCCTTCCTCGGACCCGCTGACCGCCAGCTGCTCCCCGTGGCTGACCTCCGCGCAGGTGACCCGGCCCCTGTGCGCCTCCAAGGGGGACACTTTGGCGTGCGCGCACTCGTAGAGGAAGAGGCCGCCGGCAGTCATGCCGTAGACCACGCGGTAGTCTCGCAGCACGGCCACGCTGGAGATGGTCTCGGGCAGCTGGGTGTAAAAGGTGTACGTTGGCCCGTCGACGACCGGACAGGGGTCCCCGGGGCTGACGTCCAGGACCAGGACAATGTTGTCGTAGGCAACGGCAAGGCGGTCCTCCCCCTTGCTCAAGGCCATGCAGTTGATGGCTTTCCGGGCCTCGGGAGGGGGGATGCACATCACATCCTGCCTGGAATTCAGGGGGAACACCAGGACGGTCCCCGAAACAAGGCCAGTGAAAAGGAGCTTGAGCTGCTCGGCGACCTCCAGACACCTGACCTCACTGGAAGTGTCCAGGACGTCTTGTTCCTCACCTGCCGGGGGAGAAGACCACACTGAGAACCGATCGCGGAGGCACTGGCTCCCTGGGCTTCCTATTTCTTTACATATATTTTCGTTTTAGTTTTTAGAGGAAGGGCCTTGCTCTGTCGCCCAGGCTGGAGTGCAGTGGCATCACCGTAGCTCACTGCAGCCTTGAACTCCTGGCCTCAAGTGGTCCTCCTGCCTCAGCCTCCCGAGTAGCTGGGACTACAGGCATGCGCCACCATGCCCGGCTAATTTTTCCCATTTTTAGTAGACACATGGTCCTGCTCTTGCTCAGGCTGGTCTCCAACTCCTGACCTCAAGCGATCCTCCCGCCTCGGCCTCCCAGCGTGCTAGGATTACAGGCAGGCCATAAGCCACCCCGCCATGCCAATCAATCTGAGCTGTCTAAAATGTCAATCACATCATCTCAGGCCCCTTCTTAACCGTCAGCAATGCAGGGTGCTGGGCAGTGGGGTGCGAATCCTGGCTTCTCACGACCCTCGGGACATGACACAAACTCCTTTCTACTGCCCTCAAGGCATTACATGACCTCTCCCGACCTTGTCCTAAACTTTTCCTTTACAAATGTCCTCTACAAAAGGCCAGGAAATAAATATCTTTGGTTCATGAGCCCTATGCACTCAGTTACGACCTCTCACCCTGCTGTTGTAGCCCATAGGCAGACACGGATGGTAGGTGCACACACAAATGCACGCTTCCGGCTTTGGCCCTCGGGCTGCAGTTTGCAGACACCCACCTCATGGGCCACCACTCTCCACTGCTCTGTGTCCCACTCTGCTCCCCAACTTGCAGACAAGCGCCTCGAGAATAGTAACCTTGTCTGACTTGTGCACTGCCAACCCCCTGAGAGCCTAGGCTAGTGGGCTGACGCTCAAAACATACCTGTCTGGGCTGGGCACGGTGGCTCACGCCTATAATTGCAGCACTTTGGGAGGCCAGGGCAGGAGGATCGCTTGAGCCCAGGAGGTCAAGACCAGCCTGGGCAATAATGAGACTCCTCTATTAAAAAAAAAAAAAACCTAAAAAAAAATGAGCTGAGCATGGAGGTGCACACCTGTAGTCCCAGCTACTCGGGAGGCTGAGGCCAGAGGATCACTTGAGCCCAACTGTTTGAGGCTGCAGTGGACTATGATGACGCCACTGCACTCCAGCCTGGGCAACAGGGTGAGACCCTGTCTCAAAACAAAATTTTTTTTTTAAACAGGCCTCAGGTACTCCTTTGTCACCTTCTGCCATGTGAGGACAATGGCCATCCATGAACCAGGAAGGGGGTCCTCACCTGATGCCACACCTGTCCGCACCTTGATCTTGGACTTCCCGGCCTCCACAACCACGAGAAACGAATTTCCGTTCTTCACGAGCCAGCCTGTGCTGTTCCACTATAGCAGCCCCAATGGGCCAAGGCAGTGGCCCCACTCGCCTTCCAGGGCTCCCATGGGATTCCAGCCAAGCTCACCTCCCTGCTCAGCCCTCCCCCCGCCCCAGCCTCCTCCCCTCCCTCCCTTCCAACACCCCTGCGTCCATCACTTGTGCGAATATCCCCATCGCAGGCCCGGCTTCTAGGGGACATGAACTAAAACAGGCACTGGGCAGCCGGATTACCAGATGCCTCCCGGGGGGTGGGAAGGATGCGTAAAATCAAGTCCCGTTTTCAACCGGCGACTTTCAACCTGCCTAGAGTTATGGGGGTGTTATGGATTGAAGCTTCGTGCCCCCCCCCACGTTTCTAGGTTGAACTCCTGACCCCCGATGGGCTAGTATTAGGAGGCGAGGCCTGTCTCAGTCCATTTGTGTTGCTAGAAAAGAATGCCCGAGGCTGGGGAACGTGCAAAGAAAGGATGGTTTATCTGGCTCACGGGTCTGCAGACGCCAGAGTCTGCCTCTGAGGAAGGCCTTGTGGAGCTTCCCCTCGGGGTGGAAGGGGAGAGAAGCTGGCGTGTGCAGAGATCACAGGGCGAGAGAGGAGGGGAGAGGGGGAGAGAGAGAGAGGGGTGGGGGAGGTGCCAGGCTCTTTTTTTTTTTTGAGACAGAGTCTCCTTTTGTTGCCCAGGCTAGAGTGAGTGCCGTGGCATCAGCCTCGCTCACAGCAACCTCAAACTCCTGGGCTCAGGCGATCCTCCTGCCTCAGCCTCCCGAGTAGCTGGGACTACAGGCATGCGCCACCAGGCCTGGCTCAATTTTTTTCTATATATATTAGTTAGCCAATTAATTTCTTTCTATTTATAGTAGACACGGTGTCTCGCTCTTGCTCAGGCTGGTCTCAAACTCCTGACCTCCAGCGATCCTCCCGCCTCGGCCTCCCACAGTGCTGGGATGACAGGCGTGAGCCACCGCGCCCGGCCACCTCTCATGGGAACTAATAGAGCAAGAACTCGATCACCACCCCCCCCATCCAGGAGGGCACCCACCTATTCCTCAGGGATCCACCCCCATGACTCAAACACCTCCCACTAGGCCCCACCTCCAACACCGGGGATCAAATTTCAATGTCGTGAGGTTTGGGGGGACAAACATTCAAACTACAGCGGGGCCCCGTTGGGAAGTGATTAGGCCGAGGGGTGGGGCCCTCACGCATGGGATTAGTGCCCTTCTAAGAAGATGCCCAAGAGCTTGTTCTCGTTCTCTCTCTCTCTCTCTCTCTCTCTGTCTGCAGATACAATGTGACGACGACGGCCACCTATGAATGAGGAAACGGGCTCCCACCAGACAGCACCCCGACCCTTAACGCCCCGGCCTCCAGAGCCCTGAGCGGTAAGTGCTCACCGCCTAAGCCGCCCAGTCTGCGGGGCTCCCTTACAGCAGCCTAGACCCACAGAGACAGACGGCTCCAGCCCCCGCCCGCACGCCTGACCCTGGGCACGTCTCACAAACCTTCCGCCGAGTCCCAGATGGCGACTTTGCTTTTGTCCCCGGTTTTGGGGAAGTAGACGTAGCCCCCGTTGTGGGACACCGCAGTGAGGCCCGTGCGGTCCAGAAAGGGGGCAGATCCCAGGGGTTTCCCGGCGTTGGCAAGGTCCCAGACTTTGAAGGAGGAGGACTGCCAGGAAGCAGATGCCACCAAGGCCCCGCCCCGGGCCAGCAGGCTCACGGGGGCCCCCACGCCTTCCAGGATGTGCAGCAGGGTCCCCTGTTCCGACAGACTCCACACCTGAGGATAGAGCACAGGAGGGCGGCGTGATGCCTTCCTCCCGCAACTGCAGCTTGGAAATAGGCTTCGCTAAGCCCGTCTATCCACTGACGATGAATTTTTTTAGGCTGCGGCTCAAGGGACTTCGCGTCTCCCCGCCACCCCCCCTAAAGGTCCTCACTGATCAGCTACCGTAGCGGTTCCCAAAGCATGTCCCGGGGAACCCCTGGAGGGTACCCCTGGGCCCTTTTAGGGGGTCTGCAAGATCACAACTATGTTCGTAATAATTCTTTTATTTCTTTTTTTGTTGTTGTTCATAATGCTTATAAGATATTATTTGCCTTTTTCACCCTCTTCCTCTGATAAGTAAGCGGTGGAGTTTTCAGAAGCTACATGATGAGACATCACACCAAACATGAGAATGCAGAATCGAACGTGAGAGTCCGTCTGTCTCCTAGTAAGCCAAACGTTAAAGAGATTTGCAAAAACGTGAACCATTACCACTCTTTCTTTTGGTTTTAAGAAACGTAGGTTTAAAAAAAAAAGTATATAGGCCGGGCGCTGTGGCTCACGCCTGTAATCCTAGCACTCTGGGGGGCCGAGGCGGATGGGTTGCTCAAGGTCAGGAGTTTAAAACCAGCCTGAGCAAGAGCGAGACCCCGTCTCTACTGATAATAGAAAGAAATTAATTGGCCAACTAAAAATATATATAGAAAAAATGAGCCGGGCATGGTGGCGCATGCCTGTAGTCCCAGCTACTCGGGAGGCTGAGGCAGAAAAGTTAGCAGCAAGAATCTTAGGACAGGTTTTGACGCATGCGACCACCCAAGTATTAGCTACGTATTATCTATGAGTGGCAGAACTCTCCATGCGCGTGGGTCTCTGTGCTGCCTTCCGTGGCTAACCACATCATCTCATACGCTGTCTGATGACCCGGGTCTACCCTACAATGGACCATTTGCATCCCTTCTTGTGCAGAAAGGATTCTCAGCAGCCTGGCTTGACCACACCCTGCACGTGAAAGAGGTGACTTCTAAGCACTTGGAATTGTCCTGCCTGGTAAGAGTGGTTTGCTTCCTAGAGGTTTGGTACTCCACATAGTGAGAAGATTTAATGGTGGAGTTGGACGTATGGTATCACCTTGAACTATGGAGGGCTGTAGGCTAAGGGAAGCCCCCCTGGTCCGCCCTGGAGTAAGGACAGTCAGCCATGTCTAAGTGACCGACTCCCGGTCACATACCTATCCCTGCCACCACACCCAGCAGTGCTACATTTTTAAATGGTTAAAAAAAAAAAATCAAAGTAAAGATGAATATTTCTATGGCACATGAAATGATATGGGATTCATTGGCCGCGGAGTGGCTCACGCCTGTATCCAGCACTCTGGGAGGCCGAGGCGGGGGATCGCTGCAGGTCAGGAGTTCAAAACCAGCTGAGAAGAGCAAGACCCGTCTCTACTATAAATTAGAAAGATTAATTGCCCAACTATATATACAGAAAAATTGGCCGGGCCATCGTGACGCATGCCTGTAGTCCAGCTATACGAGCTGAGGCAGGAGGATCCAGGAGTCCAGGAGTCTGGTTGCTGTGAGCGAGGCTGACCCCACGGCACTCCTCTAGCCTGGGCAACAAAGAGACTCTCTCTCTCAAAAAAAAGATATGGGATTCAAAGATCAGCGTCTGTAAATAAAATTGTGTTGGCACACATGGGCACGGCCTTTTTAAATAGTGGTCTAGACCGGCGGCAGTGGCTCGTGCCTGTGATCCCAGCATTTTGGGAGGCTGAGGTGGGAGGATCGCTGAGGCCAGCAGTTCAAGACCAGCCTGGGCAACAAGTAGAGACCTCCATTCTCTACATAAAAATTAGAAAAATTAGCTGGCATGGGTGGCACAACATGCAGTCCAGCTACTCGGGAGGCTGAGGCAGGAGCATGGCTTGAGGCCAGCAGGGAGGCTGCAGTGAGCTGTGATCAGGCCACTGCCACTCCCGAGCCAGGGCGACAGAGCGAGACCCTGTCTGAAATAAATAGATAAATAGGTCTACGGTGACTTTCATGCCACAACAGCGGAGTTGAGACATTAACAGAGAACTCCATCCAGAGTTCAAAAATGGCTCCTTGGCCGGGCTGGCTCAGCCTGTAATCCTAGCACTCTGGGAGGCCGAGGCGGGCGGATTGCTCGAGGTTAGGAGTTCAAAACCAGCCTGAGCAAGACGGAGCCCCGTCTCCTCCATAAATAGAAAGAAATTATTGGCCACTAAATATATAAAAAATTAGCCTGGGCATGGTAGCAATGCCTGTAGTCCCAGCACTCGGGAGGCTGAGGCAGGGATCGCTTGAGCCCAGGAGTTTGAGGTTGCTGTGAGCGAGGCTGACGCCACGGCACCCACTCTAGCCTGGGCACAGCGGAGACTCTGTCTCAAAAAAAAAAAAAAAAAACATAA